CCTTATCTTTAGCTCCACCAGCACTAGGGTTACAGATAGACATTCACAAACAGGGATCCAAACACAGGTCATCATGTTTGAACATCAGGCACTTTCCTGAGCCATCTCTTTGTCCCTGCAAGTCATGTTCTTAACATTACCCAGTGCCCCCACCCAATGTTTTTTGTTTTGTTTTTTTGAGATAGGGCTTCTCTGTGTAACCCTGGCTGTCCCTTTCTGTAGGCGAACTTTGCCTGCCTCTGCCTCCTACATGCTGGGATTGAAGGTGTACAACACCACTGCCCAGCTGCAGCAAGTGTTCTTAACAGAGCCATCTCTCTAGCCATAACTATCTTTACTCTTGGGACTGCTGTTCAGTCCTCAGTCCCTACTGTTAAGACTGCTGTGTGGTCTTGACAACTTCTGACCTTTGGTATTTTGCAGTGGGACCTGCTACTATTCTTACTCCGGGAGCTGGTAGAAAAGGATCTCATGGGACAGCTGGAGATAGAAGCTTGCTTGGGCAGCCTTAATGAGGCCCAGTGGCCAGAGGTAAGGAGTCTTAATCCCTTTCTCTTACATGAAGTGAAAATGGAAATGTATCATTTGTCCTAAAGAGTGCCTATGTAGCCTAGGCTAGCCACAAACTTGAATTCCTTCTGCTTGCTGAGTGCTGAGATTCCAGTTTTAGGCCCATTATAGCTGGCATTTTTTTTGCAAAGTGTTTTCAGGACTACCATGAGAGTGAGTAGTGGGTTTGATCTGTGTGGCTACTTTTCAAGACTCTCAGAAGACCAAAGGGAAAGGAGGACAGTGAATATTGGGGATTTGAAACTCAAAGTGAATTTCAGCTTATGTTTAAAATGTTCTTGTGATTCAGAGCAAAACAATATCCATAAAATAAGATTAATAATATTTTGTGTCTCAGTTTCCTGTCAGTCCATTTTCCCTGTTGGAACTTAAACCTTAGCTTGCTAGTTATAAGGCTTGTATCTATTTTTGCATAGAAAGTATTGGGTGAAATAACTGGGTTGACACCTGGATTGTCAAGCTCTCCACTGGCTGTGAGAACTTGTTTGGGACTGACCTTAGAAAAGGCAGACCATCTGCTGTGCAATAGTGTCACACACCTTTAATTCCAGCACTCCGAAGGCAGAGGCAGGTAGATCTCTGTGAGTTCAAGGCCAGCCAGCCTTGTCTACAGAACAAGGTCCAGGACAGGCTCCAAAGCTATAGAGAACCTGCCCGCCTACCCTCCCCCCCCCAAAATAAAAAAAAAACAGGCAAACTATCTAGAATTACTTTTCTCTTAACCTTTCTACTTCAGGACTTCTCAGAAGAATTATCAACACTATTTCGCTTGTTCCTAGCTGAGCCCCATCAGCTAGAACCCCAGCTGAGAGCTTGTGAACTTATGCAAACAAACCGAGGGACAGTGCTGGCCCAAAGCTAGGGCTGGGAAGCTGCCCTCTTGGGCATGACACCCGAATCTGCCTCCTGTGCCTCAGAAGGAGGCTCAAGAGCCCACTGCACACCTTGCTGGAGCAAGAGTGGCCATGTCTGTAGTCAGGCTTGCTGCTGCTCCTAAGTGAAGGAAGTGTGTTGTTGCAGAGCATCCACAGACACAGGCCTCAACACCTGCAGTCTAGAGGAAGGAGAACCTGATTCAGAGTCACAGTGGAAAAGCCTAGAGACTCCAATCTTGGAGCAGAAGGGCTGGCGTTTCTCATTTGGATGCTAAATGAAATACGTGTGTGCCGGTCAGTGCATTTCAAGCCTCAAGTTGCTGCTATCCCAGCATTTCTGAGATTCTTGATAGTCAAAGGAATGTTTAACATGAGAAAGTTAACAAAACATGGATTTGGAAGTCTACATTTTCTCACCTGCAGAAGCTGGACTGTTAACCCCACCCCCAAATACTGACAGCCAATAAGGTAGGACACGCCTATGTGAAACTCGGTCTTACATGGACTTTGCAGGGAGTTAGTCATCAGACCAAGCATGGTGTAGAAAATTAGGGGGTTTGGGGCCTTTTTTAAATAAAACTTTTAACAAGGTCTTGTTGGCTATTTTCCCCTGCTTTTTATCCCCTTTCTGATGCCTGCATTCTTTTGTGTTAAGACCCAGTCTTAGAGGCACAATCTGCAGTGAACTATTGCCATCTACTCTCACCATGCTCCCTGATGTCTAGGCTGACCCACATGGTTTGGTGGTATCTATTGTTGGCACTGGCATGTATGATTTATCTCAGAACTTCTAATCAGAAGCTGTCTTCTAATTTCTGTAAGTGGGCAGGTGATTTTTTAAAATTTTATTGCATTTAGCATGTCTGCACGTACATGCTATGGCACACGTCTGGAGGTCACAGGACTACTTGGAGTCAGTTCTCCTTCTACCATGTGGCTCCCAGGGCTTAAGTTCAGGTCATTAGGCTTGCCATTTCACAGTCCCTGGAACCAGTGATTTTAAGAAACATGACATTATTTTGATAATGTGCTTTATCCATCCCTATGAAAACTGTGGGGCTTTTTGTTTTGAGAGTAAGTCTGGGGCTCTAATGGAAGTATTAGAAGGTGCTCAGTGATAAATAACTCGAAGTCACATGTGAAATATTTGCACACAGCGTATCTTAGGGGAAAAGTTTACTGCTGTCAAAAAGGCTTCTGGCCTAAGGAAAGTTAAGCTTCTTTAAACTTGAGCAACTTATCAATTGGTACACACCTCTCCTTCTCTTGACTCCTTTAAAATGCCTGAACATCAGTGTTTTCTCCAGGTCTAGGATTGGGCCCAGGGGCCTTGCCTCACTCATGTTAATCATAAGCTAGATTGTTTAATTCTATCAGTACTGGTTATCAGGCCTAGGGAAGTACTCAAGCCCCAGTAGACAGTCAGTCATAAATGGTTTTCGTTATAATGGTGTGATTGAACCACAGCCCTGCCTCAGAAAGCTGTGAGCCCTGGTAAAGGTGAATAGTAAACTAATGGCCAATTCTCACATTGTGTGGGGAAGCCTGAAGCCCCCAAACTGTTCTGATTGAAAGACTCAGCCATGAAGCAAGCCTTAAAGTGCACACTTAAGAGAAACAGGGTCTAGTCAGTCTCTTTTCTGTTTACAAGTACTCCCTTGCAGAGATGTCTGATTTACCTCAGAACTTCTGAGTTATAGTTGGTGATATTTGTATTATGTGTTCCATGGACCACTAGCTTCAAGGCACCTGTGACTTTATACAGGGAAAAATATTCAGCTCCCCATTCTGGCCAGGAGCGAGCCCACGCTCTCCAAAGCCTGACTTACCTTTTGTCTTTTGCAATAGGATCAGTGCAGGCCCACAAATATAGAAATACACAGTGGTCAACCATTGCCTAGTACATACTAGCATAGTATTACAACTACATCTATCTTCTTAAATACATTCTTGGGTTTTTCTTTTTCCCCCTCCTGTATCCTTTAAGTTATCTAGAGATGATTTAACTATATGTAAACAACTACAAGAAACTTTTCTTTAATGTCTTTTGATCTATAGTTAAATGTATAGTGGGATGTGAAGCTACAGAGGTTGACTATGTGCTTCAGATTGCTGATTCAGGTCTTAGGTGAGGCTTATCATCTTATGCTAGCTAGCCCACCTGCTGAGCTCTTAGGAAATACTAGCATTTGCATGTAAACAAAATCTCAACTCTGGACCATGAGTAGATACTGCCATCATGATACTCAGGGTTCTTTCAGTTTTTTGAGGTAGGCTTTCTCTGTGTAGCCCTAGCTGTCCTAGAGTTCACACTCTGTAGACTAGGCTGGCTTCGAACTCACAGATCCACGCCTCTCTGCCTCCTGAGTGGTGGGATTAAAGGTGTGTGCCACCAGCACCTGGATTATTATTTTTTTTTTTTTAAACAAGTATTTTTGACTGTTTTTGGCCAAGTCTCAGTAAGGCACTTATATGAAAAGAGGCGGAAACTGAGCACGGTGGTTTGGCTCGTTGTCTTTAGGACTTGGGAGGGTGGAGCTACATATACAGTGAAATCCTGACTGGGGGGAAAATAAAAGCAAGGGGGAAGGGAAAGGAAATCAGTAGGCAATTATATAACAGGATATTATCAAGTATTGCCAAATATTAACCATATGATAAATTCTAAAGCAAAATTTCAAACATTCAATTGGCAATATGGGAATACTCTAAGAAATTAGAAAAATCTTGCAAAGAAATTTACCCCTTAACCTTTCTTCTATCTCCATAAGAGTATCTTTTTCCACCAAAAAGTTGGAGTGGCAGAAATAGATTTTTTTTTTTTCCCCGACACAGTGTTTCTTTGTGTACTCCTGGCTGTCCTGAAACTAGCTCTTTAGACAGATTTACCTGCCTCTGCTGGGATTAAAGGGAATTTCTTCTCCCTACCATTTCTGGATTAACATGGAAAAATCTTCAGAGTGTTCCACCAGGCCAAGATACAAGTAAACAATCATTTTTCCATTCTATCATATTAGAACAGTTAAGCTCAGTACTTAAAAAGATGGTCAATAGAGACAGGCTCTCATGTATCCCAGGCTGTTTACCTGAGGGTGATCTTGAACTTCTGGTCCTCCTGCTTCTACTACCAGAGTGCTATAGGCATATGGCCACCATAGCCTACTCAGTCAATAGATTTATATAAAAAGAAGTAGGTCCAGGTGTGGTGGCTCATAATCCCAGCATTTGGGAGGTTGAGGCATAAGTTTTGGACAAGGTCAAGGCCTACCAGACCTTGACAATCTGGTTGAAATCCTCTTACCATGTCAGCAAGCAGCATGGAGCAGCTCCTAGCCATTACTGCAGTGTCTTCAGGTCCCATATCTTGTCTGTTTCTGTAGTGGTCTCCCATTGTACTTAGTTCAAGGTAGACTGACTGTACCAGTAACACACAGTGGCCCAGTAAATGGTGTGTTTGTGTGTGTGTGTGTGTGTGTGTGTGTGTGTGTGTCTGTAAATATGAATGGTAAAGTGTTCATAAACATTCAGTGAGAGAAAACAATTCTAAATCAAGAGTCTGGTTTGTGCAGTTGATTCTTTAAACTGGTTTGGTCCTTTTTGTTACTCCATCACAAAATGGAGCTGAATATTGGAGGCAGATTCAGAACACCCTTGGCTAGTGCTTGTCTGCCAAGGAGTCACCTTGCCAAGGCACTGCAGTCCCCAGCTCTGCAGGCTGTGCTTTTTCCAGCCTTTGAACACTTGGTGTGTCGTTGAGTCCCGGAGGCAGAAAATAAAGAAATTTTAAAGGTGAGTTGAGTTCATTGGACAGCCAGGGCCAGGAGATTCAGGTTGCTCACTCTTCAGAGGTAACCAAGTACTAAGTACTGGTTTTGGTGGCCTTAGTGGGCTGGTGTCATCGCATAGTTGGCTACCATAGGCAGCCTGGGCTCTTCTTGCCTCAGAGTATAGAAGCAGCTATAGAGTTCCCAGGAGTCCTGGGCTTACATCTCAGCAATGCTGCTCCATGGCCCAATACTAACTACCAAGGAAGGATGCCAGCTTGGCCACAACCAATGGCTGCTGTTTGATAAAGGAATTCAGAAGATGAGGAGGGAAGCCTGGTGCACCCAGCTCCACCTGGAAGGAGAAGGAAGAAGTGAAGGTGCAGACAGACCAGGGTCAGCCACTCTGGCAGTGGTGACTGAAGATGCACTTGGGCTCCTGAGTTTGGATCTAAGTACCAGCCTTCCCTTCCCCAATGATGGAGTTGGCCTGAGAGTGGTGAATTAGGATTCTGCTCTGCTACTGCTTTCAACTCAACAATCCATAAGATATGAAGCCAATCTCTGGTGCTGGGAGCTTCATGAAGACTATAAATTTGCTCATCCCCCCTCCCCCTCTTTGATTCCCCTTGCTGTGAGCCTACTCTAGCCAGATGTCTTAGCAACTTGGGGATTCTATGCAGCTGGAGAGAAATACCCCAAGGTATGCCATGAGACAGGATGCAGTGCTGTGTCACCTGGGCAAGGAAGATGACTCTGGTTATTTCCTTCCCTTCCATGATGACAGGCTGCAGGACCCAGGCACTGGGCAGGATCTCTCCTCGAACCATTTTTCTGCTGGGTCTTGGCATGGATGTGTCATACACAGACTGAGCTGCCATGATTGACAGGTGCCCCTAGGGACAGAGATACATGTGAGTCCTGCCTGTGTAATGACAAAACAGGGACATGTTTAAGTATAGTCAGGATGATGACTAGTTGGCCCTTAAACCACCCTGCCCTAGTACCCACTAATTTGTACCTCAGCCCAAGTTTATCCCAAAACATTTTACCACTAGCAATATAGGCACCTCTTTGGCTTCCACGCAGACACAGCAGAAATCCCGCAGCTGCTTCAGCGCACAGAGTGTGGTGTCACACACCAAGTACACTAGAAGGACAGATAGATTCCATGTTTAGAAGCCCCACTTTACTCCATTACTAGATCTCTAGCACAATCTTGCCTAGCAATCTGGAGCTCCCAACAGTGCTGCTCCAAACTTCTACCTCCACCCCCTGTCTAGGCCTTTGGAAGCCTTCAGGCCCTTGAACTTACCAAGGCTGATACTGTTGGACACTCGCTGATGCAGCCTTGCTGTCTGGATGGGCTTGTGGTACAGAGGCCACAGAGTGGGATCACTCACAGCTGCCCACACATGAGAGAGCGGTTGGGGTACCACACCTGCACCCAAGAAGCCGTGTCGAGTAGAAGAGAATTCTTTGTAGTAAAGCTGTACCTTCTGTTCCTCACCCTGGTAGCTGGGGGACACAGGAGGCAAGGAATAGAAAAGAGGCCACCAGCATGAGGTGTGCCAGGACACCAAAGCAGAGAAGGAAGGGAATGATAGCAGAGAGACCAAGCACTGCAGGATAACTTACTTCCAGCCAGCTGTTGCCTGGCGGCAGAAGAGGTTGTAGAGATTATCTGAACAAGCAGCCATTACCTGGGGATAGAGGGTAGATAGAGGGTTCACCAGTTCTGGCTAACATTTACTAAGTGCCCATCATGTGTCAAGATGAAGAGTACTTGAAGCTCCCAATGCCTTGGTGACCCTAATCTGCCTGGCTCCTCCCCATCCAGCATAAGTTTGGCTATAGCCAACAGAAGGGGCAAAGGAATAGGCACAGACTCACATCAGCCATTGAGGTGTTGACAATGTGTTTGGCCAAATCCTGGTAGTGGGAGGAGAAGCAGGTTCCTAAACTGGATAGACTGGAAGGAGAGCCACTGCCCAGGGAGGCTCTGCAGCCTACAATAAAGAGATGAAGGCTCTGTAATGACCTGAACACCAAGGTGGTGGGACAGTGGTATGGGACCAAGTCTTGGGCCAGTTAATCTCATGGCTGTCATTCCCCAAGCTTGCTACTCACTGTGAGCTAAGCTCTTCCAGGAAGACCCGGTCAGATACAGCTGACTGTTCCTCACTGTGGACCTGCCCCACCAGTCCCCTATCCAAGTGTCTCGGACATCTGGTACTCGAGAGTCCTCCTGTAGAACAGAGGATGCTTAGAATGGGAGATCCAGAAATGTCTTCCACTAGCAATTACAATGGGATTTCAGGATATTGGATGCTGTGGTGGTTTGAATAAGTAATGGCCCCCAAAGGCTCATATATTTAAATGCTTTGGAAGCCTTCAAGCCCTTGGACTCACCTAGGCTGACACTGTTGGTTAACAGGGAGTGGCACTATTTGAGAGGATTAAGGGAGGTGTGGCCTTGTTGCAGAAGTATGTCACTGGGGTGGGCTTTGAGGTTTCAGAAGCCCATGCCAGGTCTAGTGTCACTCTCTGGATCAGAATATGGCTCTCAGCTACTTCTTCAGCACATGCCTGCCTGCTGCCATCCATGCTTTCTGCCACGATAATGTACTAAGCCCTGAAACTGTAAGCCAGCCCCCAATTAAATGCTGTCTTTTCTAAGAGTTGCCTTAGTCGTGGTGTCTCTTTACAGCAACAGAAAAATAACTAAGACAGATGCCCTCAAGAGCAATAGGTACCAGCCAAGACTGCTTCATTATCTAGGCCACAGGCTTAAAGGGTTGCTTGTGGATCAGGGGCCATGGCAGTTGGGATAACCAGTACCTGACCATGGGGCCCTCTGCTGAATTATGTTAAGAAGCCACCTGTATCATGGTGGCAGCAGGAAGCAGGCCATCACTGGAGGGGTTTCGTGTGGGTAATGAAGTCATAGTGAAGGGGAGCTGAGGGAGAAGCAATGAGCTCTGGACAGTGGACCTTTGCCCTGGCCAAGTGCAATACTGAGCCACAAGTCCCATTGTAGGACCTCTGGATCTCTTCTGTCTTTGGTTAGTAAACTACCTAAGCCAGCTCCTCGGTGGAACAAAAACATTCACCAGGTAAAGGCACCTGCCACCAATCCTGAGGATGACAGTACCTGGGACAGAACTGATAGTGAAAACTGTCTTCTGACCTCCACATGTGTGACATGGTACATGCATCATATGTACACACTAGAGAAATATAAAAAAAAAAAAATTTAAATGACAATCAGTTCTACCCCTTCCTTACTTTCTGTCCTGCTACAACAGTCTTGAGTCAGCTTTACATCTGTAACTGTCAGAATCCCTTTCCCTAATCATCATCTTTCTCCACTTGACTCCACCTCTCCCTTTTCACAAGTGTAAGTATTTAAACATAAAGAGATGTGTTTCCCAGCATTGAGCTTCCTGAAGCCAGTGTTCAGTTTGTCATATGTTGACAGTACTGCACTAGTAATTTCTAGCTATAATAATGAATTAATATTGCTATGACAACTAGATTGGCATTGGGGGCAGAGACCCATTTTATAGATCAGGCCAAAATATATCTCTTATGCTCTATGGGTCAAAGAATATTGGGATCAAGAAAAATATAGCATTAAAAAATTTAAAAGATCAAAAGCAGAAAAACACTAGTTAGTACATTAATTATTTCATATGTAACACTGATATCAAAAATTGGAATATAAAAACTATAGAAAAATTGGGGCTGGGGAGATGGCTCAGTGGTTAAAAGCACTAGCTAGTCTTCCAGAGGTCCTTCAGTTCAATGCCCATCAACCACATGGTGGCTCACAACCATCAGTAAAGAGATCTGGTGCCCTCTTCTGGTGCAGACATACATGCAGGCAGAATACTGTATACATAACAAATAGATAAGTACTATAGAAAAAATATATAGAAACCCTTAAAAATTATCAGACTGCAATAGCACATTAAAAGAATAATACTCCTGGTGAATTTCAGGATATCCAGGGCTACTACATGGAGAAACCTTGTCTTGAAAGAACAAATTTAAAAAGGAGGGCAGCTAGAAAGGTGGTTCCGTGCTTATAAGCACTGGCTGCTCTTCCAGAAGACCCAGGTTCAATTCCCAGCGCCCTCGTTGCAATTCTAAACTGTGACTTCAGTTGCAGGGATCTGACATCCTCACCCAGACAAAATATCAATGTAGGCAAAATATCAATGGACATAAAATAAAGTATAAAAAGAATAATGCATCACTTGTAAATATTTGGTGTGTATTTAGAAAATTCCAAGAATGCAAAAATAGTTTCATATTAGCCAATATGAACAAATACATAAAATGACAATCTCCAAAATATGAAATGTGATGCCCTAGAAAATCATACATGCTCCTTTAATGGTAAATTATATCTGTTTAAAATCTAGTATGAAATAATAGAAGCATCCTGCTAATTAACATCTAGAAAAAGATGAGGACATTAGTTATCCCCTACTCAGGATCTAGCTAATGCAGCTACAGGACAGAAGCACAAAGTAACACTGTAAGGACATGGTGAGATGTCTAGGATTTGACATGATACCTCTACAGTCCTAAAGAAATCTAGAGAAAGGGGACTGTCCAATATGATAGCCTCATTTCTGAGTGTGTGCAATGTGACACATGTGACCTGAGAACAAACATTCTGGGCCTGGTGCCAGTCACTTATTCCTCCACAAATACAAAAGCAGACTATTGTAATGTCACATTTCCAGGAACAACAACCAAAGAGCAATGAGATTGATTCCACACAATGGCAAACTAAAACCTGTGGCTTCCAAAGAACTGAGAAAGGAACACAGCAGGAAAAACAAAATATCCCTGCACTTGCCCAAGCTTCATTGCCCAAAAGACTCCCTTCTTGGGGGGGGGGGGGTGAAAGATAAACAGAGTTCAAGAAAACTCATTAGCACAAATTGGGCCAGCCTGGATACTGGGATGACACCCACACAAACCTCACAGGCTTACAGCCTAGCTAGATAAGGAGTCTGGAATCTTCACAGCCTGGCTTTGGGAGAGGGTTCACTTTAACTCCCAGCCATCCCCTAGGGTGCTGTAGACAGAAGCATTTTGACAATGGACCTACTGTTTGAATTTGGATGGCTCTGGGCATCAGAAATCCCTGTCGCCATCTCTGAAGTCCCATAGAAATTCTACTTTATAGCTGGGCATGGTGGCAAACACTTTGATCCCAGCACTTGGGAGGCAGAGGCAGGTGGGTCTCAGTGAGTTCCAGGACAGCCAAGGCTACACAGAAAAATCCTGTCTTGAAAAAAACCAAAAGAAATTCCACTCTACTTGCAGTAGGGAAGCCACCTCATGAACAAGACCTGGCCTAGTAGAGTGACTGACTCAAACCTGCAGAGAGCATGCAGGGAACAAATGTGACACAGAAGGGAAACAAGGGATACTCTAGTTGAGTCAACTGCCCCCAAATTACTAAAATGATGAAAAGGGGGCAGAGTATGACAGGTACCAGTGAAATCCAGAGGATAATGATTTGACAATCTAGATTCCTAAAAGCTGGAAAAATCTAGCTCTGGATAAATTCCTAGATAGGGGCCAACTAAAATAAAATCAAGTGGACATGAAAAAATAGATCTATAACAAGAAGCAAGACTAAAACCACAATAAAAGTCCAATACTGGGTGACTTCATTACCAAATTCTACCAAACCTTAGATATTAATGCCAATGCTCTTCAAACTGTTCAATAAAATAGAAAAGAAAGGAACACAACCAAACCTATTCTAGGAAGCCAGTACTATCCTGTTGCCAAAGTCTATAACAATAACTATATAACAACAAAGCTGTAGGCCAAATTCTCTGATGAATACAGATGCAAAACTTCTCAACAAAAAAACTTCTCAACAGAATTCAAGAATACATTGATGAACTGGAAAGATAGCTCAGTAGTTAAGAGCACATGCTGCAGCCAGGCATACTGACACACAACCTTAATCCCAGTACTTGGGAGGAAAAGGCAGGCAGATCTCTGAATTCAAGGACAACCTGATCTACACAGCCAGAGCTACACAATCGAGACCATGTCTCAAGAAAACAAAACAAACAAAAAAGAGCTGCTTTTCTAGAGGACCTAGTTCAGTTCCCAGTACCCATGTGGTAGTTCATAACTGTCTCTAACACCATCAGGGATCTGATGCCCTCCTGATATCTACGGGTACCAGACACACACATGATACACATATACATATTCAAGCACACATACTTATGCATAAAATTTTTAAGAAATTCAAAATACCATTAAAAAACAAATCATAAAAATAATCCCACCCATAATAGGTGTTTTGTTTATTTTATGGCTAAGAATAAAATTAACAAAGAAAAAGACCTACACAGTGAAAATTGCAAAACACTGTAGAAAGAAATTGAAGACAGGCACTGAGAGGCTCAGAGGTTAAGAGTATTTCCTGCTCTTCCAAAGCACCACACTTCAGTTTCCAGCATCCACATCTGCTTGTAACTCTATTCCAGGGAATCCGGTGCACACATTAAACAAACACACACATGATGGGGCTGTCCTGTGATTATGTTTCTCTTATTGGTTGATGAATAAAACACTGTGTGGCTAGTGGCCAGGCAGGAAGAATAGGGTGGGCTACCAGAGGAAGAGAATTCTGGGAAGTATAGGTGAACAGCAGTAGAGATATGATCCTGGGAAGAGAGGATAAGTAAGGTATTCTATGGTAAGACAAGACCGTGTGGAAATATATAGATTAATAGTAATGGGTTAATAATTAAGACAGAGCTAGCCAATAAGAAGCCCTAGCCACCAGCCAACAGTTTTATAACCAATATCGCTTCCATGTGTTTATTTGGGGCTGAAGCAGTTGTGGAACCAGGCTGGCAGAGCTGAAACTTTCCTCAACACACATTTATATTTAAGTTAAAGTTTTAAAATCTTTAAATTCAAATATGGAAATACCTCCTCCCCAAAGTTCACTATTTGGAAGAATTATACAATTACATGTCCACAACACTCAAAGCAACTGACAGATTCATCATAATCCTCATAAAAATGTCAATGCTATTCTTCATGGAAATATAAAAGCTAATCCTAACTTTACATGAAAATGTATTCCTAAACAGAGAAAACTTAAGTAAAAAGAGCAAAGCTGGATGGTTCACAATACTTGATTTCAAGGCAGACTACAGAACCATGGTAACAAAAACAATGTGGTATTGACATAAAAATACACAGACCACGGAAAATCTAGAAATAAATCTTACATCCACAGCCAATTGATTCTTAATTAACAAAGGTTCCCAAACAAACATTAGAGAATAAACAGCCTAACAAATGTCACTAGAATGAGTAGTACATGCACAATATTGGGTCTGGACCCTCATCTCTCACCATAATTAAATCAACTCAAAATGGATAGAAAGATTTTCTTTTCTATACACCACAGATGATCTTGACTGAAATCATGATCTGTCTTCAACATACCAAAAGCTTGGATGACAGGTGTGTACCACCATCCCAGGGTCTGGATCAGAAATCTTAGTGTTTGACATGAAGCTCTAAAATTACTATAGGAAAACAGAGGAAATACTTCAAAACTGGCACGATGATTTACTGAGCCAGGCTACAAAATTTTAAAATTGACAGTTGAGTTAGGCACACACCTTTAATCCCAGCACTCAGAAGGCCTGAGAGGTAGGTGGATATCTGAGGTCTAGGCCAGCCTGATCTACAGATTGAGTTCTAGGATAGCCAGGATTATACAAATAAACTTGTCTCAAAAAATTAATTAAATAAATAAAATTGACAGTTGAGATTATATCACATGCAAAAGCTTCTGCACAGCAAAGAAAAAATGCTAACAAACAGACAGCATGAAGAATTAAGAAAGATCTGCTCTGGACAGTGACACACATCTTTAATCCTACCCAGCACTAGGGAGGCAGAGGCAGATCTCTTGAGTTTGAGGCCAGCCTGGCTTACATAGCTAGATGTAGGCCAGCCAGGTATCTATAGTGAGACGCTGTGTCAAAAATAAATAAAATGGAAGATACATTCCTATTTTTTGGCTCTTCCACTACATGAATGTATTATCTATACAAAGAGTCCTATTAAAAACAATAAAAGAGAAAAATGAAACACTAGCTATGAAAAAGAGTGAGTTGGTAATAAACCTACTGACAGGCTAATCCAAAGGTATTTTTAAGGAGAAAAAAATCCTGACATATTCCTTGGTTTAATTGCATTTTGAAAGGGGCAGGGGGGTGCCTGAAGAGATGGCTTGGTGGTTAAGAGCATTGGCTGCTCTACCAAAAGTCATCAGTTGAATTCCCAGCAATCACACAGTAGCTCACAACCAACTGTAGTGAGATCTGGCACCCTCTTCTGGCCTGTAGGCATGCATTCAGACAGACACTGTATACATAATAAATAAGAAAATCTTTTTTAAAAAAGTGTTTAAAAAGTGCATATGGAAGTCAGAGGACAATTTGCAGGAATTGGTTCTCTCCTTCCACTATGTGGATCTGGGATCTGAACTCATGTCTTAGCAACAAGCACTTTTCCCACTGAATCCCAGGTCCAGCAAGTGCATATTCATACAGGTGTACACACTATCCATGTGCATGTTCATGTGGGTGTACACACTATCTATGTACATATTCATATGGGTGTACACACTATCCACATGCATATTCATATGGGTATATACACTGTCCATGTGCATGTTCATATGGGTATATGCACTATCTATGCATATGTTCACATGTGTATATACACTATCCATATGCATGTTCATATGGGTGTACACACTATTCATGTGCATATTAATATGGGTATATACACTGTCCATGTGCATATTCATATGTGTTTATACTATCCATGTGACTAAGATGAATACTTCTGGGGAGGGAAACATCCCTTCATGTCACATGGTGTATGCCACTATTTAGATATTTGTTTTACTATGTCCATTTTAATTTATAATATGAATTTTAAATATTTCTCTCCAGACAGGCCTTACTTTGAGCACTTCATGTTTCCAGCTGCCTTCTTGATTCTAACTAGCTTCTTCTTGATTCTAAGTTGAAATCTTCAGAAGCACCTTCAACATAGTAAGTAAATATCAAACTCCCAACTTTCCCCCCAACAACCTAGTCCTTCTCCAGCATCCTTCATTGTTGTTGCCATGGTCATTACCTCAGGTCAATTGTGATTTCAGAGATGAGCAGGTAAAGGCACTTGCCATATGAGCCTGGCAACCTGAGTTCAATCCCCAGGGTACACATAAAGATGGAAGAAGAGAACAAACTCCATAAAGTTACCCTCTGCTCTCCACACACACACTGTGGCATGTGCACCCAAACATACATAGCACACACCATGGGAATTAACAAAGGAGTGCATGCTGTTTCCAACTCCATGCTTCATCTCCCACATCCAACCAGTCACCAAGAAACTTCTCTTCTCCTTGCACCTGTATCTGGTGATCTTCACTGGAAACACTAAAACCAAGCATTCACCATCTTGCTCAATTCTGTCATGGTCATCTAACAGTCTTCCCATGGCTGCTCTTGTCCCTTCCTCTTGCAATCCAATTATTCTAATATGTGTGTGTGTGTGTGTGTGTTCTATCATTTAAAAAGATCCTTTCTGTGACATAACATCAGACTAGAAAGGAGACAGAATTCTCAATACATTATTTTGCCATTCAGCCATCTTGCTCTATATTCCATCCACACAGGCCCCTGCTAGGTTCTTCACACTCCAAGGCCTCCCTTCCTAGACTGCCTCTCTACCAACACTAGTACCACTCAGTTCTTCTGAATCTCATTGCCATTCTAATCTCAGTTCAAACAGTCTCTTCAGAGTATCTTCATTGACCTTGTAGATTTGGACAAACCACCTATTATGCTAGCTTAGCATTCCTTCAGTTAGCTCAGTGCTACAACAACAAACATAAAACAAGCTGCTTAATATTTCTATCTCTAATAGTCTTAAGTCTTTAAAAGTCTAAAGACAATACCATTTTACTTACGATCTTATCCTAAAATAGTATCTACTATTTAGGATAAAATAAAAACTTAAGTTTGGAGCTGAAGGGATGTCTCAGTGTTAAGAGCACTGGCTGCTCTTCCGGAGGACCTGGATTTGATTCCGAGCACCCACATGGTGGCTCACAACTGTCTGTAATTCTAGTCTCAGAATCTGATGCGCTCATCTAATCTCCATGGGTACTCATGTGGTACACATGCATACCTTGCTAGGTATGATGGTACATGTGCCCTTAATACCAGCACTCAGGAGCCAAAGGTAGAGGCAGGTGGGTTTCTGTGAGTTCAAAGACAACCTGGATTGCATAATGAGTTCCAGGCCAGGTAGGGCTATATACAGTGAGCACCTGTCTCAAAAATAAATAAATCTTTTTTAAAAATTTATTATTTATTTACTATATATACAGCGTCCTGCCTACATGTATCCCTGCAGGCCAGAAGAGGGCACCAGATCTCATTACAGACAGTTGTGAGTCACCATGTGGTTGTGGGGAATCAAACTCAGGACTTCTGGAAAAGCAACCAGTGCTCTTAACCACTGAACAATCTCTCCAGCTCAGTAATGAATCTTTTTAAAAGGGCAAACATCATCATCAAAAGTATATAAATCAATAAAATTTAATGTGTATTGTTTATTTGCTGGGTTTTGTTTTTGTTTTGTTTTGAGACAAGGTTCACGATGTAGTTCTGTCTATCCTGGATCTTACAATATAGACCCATCTGGCCTTAAACTTACAGAGATCCAACTGCCTCTGCCTACTGAGTACTAAGATTAAAAGCCCGCACCACCATGCCCTGCTGTGTACTACCCAGGCTACATTTCTGGCACGCATGTTACACAGCTCACAACCAACCACCTGTAACTTCAGCTGTATGGGGATCTGATATCAGCCTTTGGCCTCTATGAACACCAGTACTCACATGCATGTACCTACAAACAGAAACACATACATACATATAATTAAAAATAAAACAAAACTTAAACACACACACACACAGAGAGAGAGAGAGAGAGAGAGAGAGAGAAAGAGAGAGAGAGATGCAAGATTAAAGGGAGAGGAAGGCAGCCCTAAACTAAAAGCACATGGGAAGGGATCAGCAGAGAACTTGAAAAGGCACAGGTCCTACACATACTTTCATCTCAGAAACTTCCTGATGTCTGTCCACTCACCTTAACCTCTAGGGACTGGAGGTTGCCTGAGAAGGCTGGGCTGCTGTTGTAACCAGATGTAATACCAGAATACAGGCTTCCATTGGAGCTGGTACACAGGGAGCTGGAGTTGGCTAGACTTTGTAGTTTCTCCTCTTCCTGGGAAGAAGACAGATAAAAGCAGCTACTGATACTCCCTCTCTACCACATTCTCTCTCCCAACCTTCCCTCTCACCTCCACAGCTGCTGCCACTCACTTTCCTGGTCCTCCCACCTACTTCCCAGAAGCCACCATTCTCCATGCTTCCCACATTCCTGACTCCACAGAGAAGCCTCTTCCTCCACACTCTAGTCTGCAACTAGAGTGGTCTATGAAGGTGTAAAGGGAATATGAGCCCAGCTTTGGGCTGAAAGCCGAGTCCTACACCTCCAAGTGTATTCAGACCCACAGGCTGCCAGAGACTAAGATCTGGCCCAGGTTCCAGGCCTGTCCTAAAGTAGAGGATCACCTCATTCCTCACCTTCAGTAGCTGGGAGATGATCTGCTGACGAATTCTCAGCTTTTCTTGTTCAGTCCTCTGCCTGAGCCGATCCCGAGCCTGGGCAATCTCCACCTTGGCCTCCTCACGGGCCTGATGATAGTCTCGAAGCATCAGCTCAATGTCAGAGGGTGGGTGGGCTGACCTTGATGCTGGTTCTGGGATCCTAGGGAAGTTCACGGGGTGGAAAGACACCTTCTAACATGATGAGTGCATAAAGTATAGTCCTATCCACCCCAGCAGACTCAGCACAACCTCCTGCTGTCTACAAAATCATCATTTTATGTTCTTAGGAGAGGTTTCTAGAAAGAGGAACAAGCCATTCTAAGACCCAGGCACACAGATTTGCACATGTGAGTCCCTCTGTCTAATGCTTTCCCATGACTTTCTGCCCATCTCCACCTCTCTGCACCATTCTCTCCTATACAACCTATTTCCATTTGCCCCCTACCCCAACATCTACCTCAGTTTATCCAGAGAAAAAGGCTCTGGAATGCTCAAACCCCAGCCCAACTCCCACACAGCCTGTTTCCTGCAGGCTCCATACTCACTCTTACCTAGTGGTCTCCACAACAGTCTTCCTCAGCTGCTGCAGATATTCTCGGCGTCGGCTGGGCAAGTCAAGTTCCCAGGCAGGGAGATCCTTGTTGGGCAGGAAGCTGAGTTGTTTCTGGGGACTGAGGCTTCGTGTTCGACGAAAGTTATGAAGTCGTTCAGCCCTCTCTCTTTTGAGGGTCTCTATAGTCCTTTTCTGCCTGAAACAAAATGTGATTGATTCACTAAAGCTGGTCCTACATGGTCTTAACCCTCAAGTTCTCTGACCCCATGGAAGAACCCTGAGGGGAGCAAGGACAGAGTGAATAGCTTACAGTTAAGTTTCCTTGGGTCCTATCTTAATTTGCCTTCCCTTACCCTCCAGGCCCAGGACCCTTACCTGGTGTAGAGTTCCCCCAAAGAGGACATAGCAGGTTCTTGAGGAGCAAACACCTCTCCTGTCCCATTCTGCAGCACCTTCAGCAGAGCATCTGCCTCCCCAAAGCCACGGTTTAATTTTGCTTCTGTGAGTTCCACACTGAGTGAGGGTTTCTGGACCCCTACTTGTAAAGGGACATGCTCCAACCGGGGCCACTCAGGATGCTGGTTGTAATTGTCAGAAGGTTGGGGGGAACTTTGTGTTTGGTCTACAGAACTGGAATCACACCCAACCCCTAGATTCTCACTGACATGCAGCTCTCCACAAGATCCATCCTGAACTCCATACCAGTTATCAAATTTGTTATGAACTGGGAGGTCCCTCAGGCTGTGATGCTGGAGATCAGGGGCCACAAACCCATGTGAACCAGGGCAGAACAGTCCCACAGATTGGCAGGCCTGAGGTGGCTCTACAGCAGGACTTCGAAGTCCTGCAGCATCGGAGATAGGACAAGGACTAAGGGGCTGAAGTTCTCTCCATGAAGATGACAGATCTGGACTGGGCTGTGGCTTCACCATAAACACCGAGCTCTCACCCTCATTTGCTACCGGGCCCTGCCACTGACTTGGCTGCCTACTTCTCTGTGGACCATGCTCTATGGAAGCCACCTTCTCAGGCACAAAGCTGTCATTTAGCTTCAGGCTCCTGTGCCTTGGTGGAGGAGATGGCAGTCTGCTTTGGTCTCCAGTGGTGCTCGTGGGCTGAAGCTGCTGAGGGGCCTGCCCTAAGAAACTAACCTGGAAACTGGAGCTCTGCTGTGGGCTGCATGGGGAGCTAGAATCAAGAACTAAACCCTCAGAACTCTTTCCTAAGGGGCTCTTGCCTTCTCTTTCCAGAGACTCAACTCTCTGAGAGACACCCAACTCATTAGTAGCTTGAGAATTATCCATTAGTGGTCTTGGATTACAAACAGCAAGGTCAGGACTGATGGCAATCTCCTGGAAGTCTTCAAGAGGATGAGCTGAAGGAGCTGATGAAGTCAAACAGGCTAAGGTGTTGTTCAACTCATGGGTGCTGGCACTAAATGTAAGGATTGGAGAGGAAGCCCTGTCCACCAGCAGAGCACTCGAGAGGCCCGGCTTCTGGGTATCAGGCTCCTGGGTTAATTCTGGAGCACCAAGGAAGAGCCCTGAATGGTGGGGGATGCTGGGACTGTTGACCACCATGGGAGATTCCTCTGGCTGCAGGCTGGGAGGTGGGGAACTATCAGTAGAAGGTGGGGGGCTCATGAAAGTAAGGTCCTGCCCAAGATGAGCTTTCTGAAACCTCAAGCATGGTGAGGGTATGGGAGGGCTCTGTAGTTTATAGTGGGTGCTTCTTTCATGGAGATCTGGGGGTTCTGCTGCTTCCTCTGCCCCTCTCTTGTGAAACACTCCTGGGACATCTCCCTTTTCTTGAAACATGGTGGTGATACCTGAGTCCATTACTTCAAGGATGACAGTGACTTCCTGAGGCTTGGCCTCTGGGGCCTGGAAGAACAGAGGAGGTAAGGCCAGGTCCGTCTGGATTCCCTCATCCACAGTGGTCTGAGTGCACCCGTCCACAATGAGGGCCTGTGAGGCCTCATCTGGGGAATCATTCTTGATGTCCTGCTCCTTTGGGACCACACTTGGCTGGGAGAGACTCCCAAGTAGCTCAGAAGTGCTGTGCAGAAGCTGTGAGAGGTGAAGAGAAAGGTTGTGCATGCTGGTCCAGGAGGCCAGTTCAGAGTCTGACATTGTCCTGGTATCAGGCTTAGCAGATATGTCAGTGCAACTCCAGTGGAGCCTGCTGCTCAGGGTCTGTGTTCCCTGCTCAAGGGTATTCATCCTGGCCTGTGCCACAGCACAGGCTGCCTCAGATGGGCAGAGCAGTACAATCTCATCTACTGGAGCTGTGGCGCTCCCTCCAGCCACAGGCAGCTCACTCCTCAGACAGCCTATTTCCTCAGAAGAGCCCCTGAACGGGGGTCTCTTGTCAGAATCCCGAGTGGGAGCAACTTCTTCAGAGCCAATCAACTTATGGGGCTTCTCCATGGCAAGTGAGGAACTCGGTATTTCCCAGCCTTTGTTTGAACTTTGGTCATTCTCAATACTGTTGCACATGTTTGACAGGTCCCGGGTTTGGGCATAAGTCCTGAGATGGGAGTAAAATGGGAATTTCTTGTCATCCTGGGCATAATTCATGCTAGAGCACCGAGCCATATTTGATGGTATTAGGCTCTTGGATTTCTGGCTACAAGACACATCAACTACACTTCCAAACACATATTGCTTCCAGCCAATATGCACAGGTTCCTGTGGACACCAGGGCAGGACATAGGGATTTATGTCACTAGAACCAAAGTGCAGCATGTCTTTGTCTACCTGAGTGTGCCAATTCTCTGGCACATCCTGAACATTCAGTGTATCTGTCTTTTCTTGATGGGCCTGTTCCAAAGTACCAGGCGTCCAGTCAGTCATGAAATCAGGTGTTGGCATGCATGATATAGTAGATGATGTTGGATAAGGAGGAATGACAGGTTTCAGGGGCCTGTGATCAGTGGGGCTATTGTTCACATTACATGGAGCTTTCTGAATGCAATCCTGAATCTTTGGAGATGTTGACATTGGTTTTTCTGAGGAATGGCCCCTGAAATGTGGACTCCACAATCTTTTTGGCGCCTGTGCATCTTCACCAGCTGAGGAAGGAGACTCCACACTCAAATTTAATTCATGAAGAGATTGAGATGAGCTGATCACAGAGAAATGAGGTCTAGGAGAGTACCTGGCATGTTTAGGGCCAGAGAAGACCGCAATCACAGGAAGTGAGTGCCTGTGGCGGAGAGCCAGCTGCTCCCTTCCAGAGTAGAGTTGACCAGTAGTCTGGGTAATAAACTGGGATGTTTCAGTTTGCCCGAAGGGCAGAGAAGCTGAGTCTTCAGGGTCTGAAAAGAAAGTTTGGGACACAGGAGACTTGGCTGCAACTATCTCCTCTTTTTTACTATCTCTAGTATGAAAGCCATCAAAGCCACCCTCATTTGAAGATGCTGGATTTCCAACCTGGGCATGGTCTTTGCCATCTCCTGAAGCCTGGTCTTGCTGTTGCTCTTCTTCCTCCCACGAAGTCTCAATCTGAGGGTGGCAGGTGTGTTTTAACCTGTCTATAAAATTGGCTTGGGAACACAAGCAACTGTGACCCCTGACCTCAGTGGAAAGTTGTATCTTTTTTGAACAGCATCTGGTGATGTTTCCTAAATGTCCATACTGAGCTGGCATCACCAGCTCACTGTCAACAGATTCTTCATTTAAATTTAGGGTATGTGGTGCCTGAATCACCACAGGAGGTTCTGGCTTGGCTTGAGATGCCTGTATATTCTCCCCTACAGAGTTATCCTTCAAAGTCGTATGTGGCTCAGAGTGCGAGCCTGCAGGACCAGTTGAATAAGCATCCTGAGGAGTAGTGCTAGCCTTCTTCCTTGAGGTCTTTTTCTCAGAACCTTCAACTGACTTTCTACTAGCAACTGCATGGGTGAAGCAATTTGCCTCAACTTCCGAGGTGGAAAGGGAATAACAGCTTTGAGCTGGAGAGGAGACAACAGCTACAGTGGATGGGTTGGGAATGCTGCTGTCTACAGGCACATATTCTACATTAACATGTTTGTGCTCAAGGTCATGTGCCCAAAACACCAGAGAGTCTTTGGAAAAGCTCTCTATTGTTCCATCCACTTCACAAGCCCTAGATGGTACTATGAAATGTAAGTGGACGGGATGTAGAGTTTCCTTCCTAAGGAAACCATCTCTATAACATGGCAGAGTAGAGGAATGGGAACAGCAGGCATGAGCATCAGTAGGTTGAGAACCAGTTAGCTGAGGGCAAGGAATAGTTCTGTTCTCTTCCTCCTTGTAAGATAAGCCAAGTGGCTTGCTGCCTCCAGTGCTCCCTTCGGAGACAAGGCACTCTTCTGGGCACAGACCTGGAGCATCTTCTCTAAGATGCAGGCTAGGTCTTTGATCTAGCAATGACCTTGGATTTTTGCTGTCAGCTCCATGGCCTTCTGCTAGGCCAGAGTCAACATTTTTCCACTTGACGTGAGCATCTGCTTCAGCCTTTCTAGGAGCTCCTACATGAACAGCATATAACTTTGGACTTGCCTTCATTTCTTCTAAGCCAGTAGAAGCATCCAAACACTGGACATGGTCTTGCTTAGGCCCTGAGAGGCCTGCAGAATTACTAACACTACAGATCACAGACTGACATTCAGAATGGACTGCTTTTCTTTCCTGTGTGGTCACTAAGATTTTACCTGAGCCTCCTCCACATGTACCATCTGGACTTGTAGGTTCCTGATGCTCTGGGAAGCTGTCCTGACTACCAACGGACATACTAGCTGCAGTTTTCCATGCAGCTAACTGACTCTGCCCATGCATAATCCTGCCAGGATCATCACAAGAAGTTTGAGAAGGTAAGACAGACACTTTCTCTGATCCTACCCTTCCATCCTGCTCTGCAGCTGGTGTAGAAAGAAGCCTGTCTGGGGCCAAAGGATCAACACAGGACAGTGTGCTGGATGTTTCTTTCTTTTTCTTTTTCTCCATGATTTCAGAAGAATCAGACAATCCACTTGCTCCCCTTGGTTCTCCAGTACAATGTCTTTTCTCTAGATCTGGGACAATGTGAGGGGAAGCCAGCAAATGATGCCCTGGTCCTCTGTCAGTTTCAGGACTGAGAAGATGCTGAAAGCCCTCTGCACTGGGAGGCATGGTTTGGGCTTTCCTCTCCGCAGCCAAGAGGTCTGCTGACACGGCAGATGGAGATGCCACTTGCAGTCCTTGGGCTTCGTCCTCAGTCCTGGTGCTGTCCCACCCGAGCTTAACCATTTGCTCCCCAGGCCTACCAGCAGCCTCTGAAAAACATTCTTCTTGTGAAGTCTCATAAGGAAGGACTGTCCCCTCAGCTGCAAAGTCATTAAGCTTCTTCCTCTGGGCTTTTGCCTGTCTAATCTCTGCCAAGATAGCCAGGCATATGGATGCATGGATAGAGGAGTCGAGTAGTGGCAGAGGCTCCAGATCAGGTGCCCTCAGTAGAGACGAAGATGTTAAGCAGGCACTGCTAGCAGGCTGTTGGTCTTCGGACTTCTCTGCCTTCTGCCTTTCCTCCTCACCATGGTTACTGTCTTCTTGTAAGAGGAAACTGACCCTCTTTTCAGTCTGCCTTGAAACCCCATCCAAGGAACTGGTTTTTATTTCTTTTTGTATAGCGGCCTCATATTCAGTACCCAGCTCTTCCTGAGTAGCCAAGCCCGTTGACATGACTCTGAAGTCCCCTCTCTGGTCTTCTTGGGGGCTAGTGCTTACTGTTATCCAGTCCTCTGTCTCTAGTAGAATGCTCTGTGGTGTAACAGACTGATCATTAGTTCTCATGACCATGGGTGTCACAGATCCACAACAGTCAGAGTGTGCAGTGGAAGCATCCGTTGTAACACTTCCCTGTGGGCTACTGCTTCTGGCCTCACTATAATCCTGATGCCCTACTCCAGTTGCCAAGGAACTTCTATTAATTTTCAGCATTGTAGGCTCTAACATGTACTCAAATAAAGAAATGCCTTTGGTGTCAGAGGCATGCAAACAGCTTCTTGGTGAGCTTGGAGAATGCAAGGATTGATTACCACTTGGTTCTCCATAAGGAAGAGCTGCAGAGAAGTCTGTCTGGTTATGGAATGGGGAGACAGTCTTCTGGCTGGAAAATGTGCCCTTACACTGATGGCTTGAAGTGGGAAGTTTCTGGGTGGATGAAAACATATTTTCTTGTAGATCTCCTCCCCTTTCCACTGTCATTTCGTTAACTCTCCCATGAGTGTTTGTGTCCTGCAACCCTGAATCACTTGGGAGTTCACCAATTCGGCTTTCTTGAAAACTTTTCACAGTCTCTGATTCCTCAAGATTTCCCAAGGTCCAAGGCTGGTCTTGGAAGTCAGCTGATGCTTTTAGAAGTTTGTCCTTTTGAGGAGAGCTTTCTACACTGGGCTGTGATGGCAGGGCTCTAGCTAACACTGTCTTTCTCCTTGAGTGAAGGGAAATGCTGCTAGGCTCTCTGAGAGCTATGCCCTTCCCCAAAGAATCACACGTATCCTTGGCAAGTCCCTCTATTCCAGGTGGTGGGTGTGAGTGTTCACTCTCAGACTGCCTCTTCTGTGCATAGCCCCCTGATCTGAACAGGCTTCCTATGATTTTCTGGGTCTGGGCATTATTACTGACAGCATTGTTACCCTCCATTTCCCTAGCCTCACTGTCTCCAAAGATACCATTCTCTATCTGTATTGGAAAAGATGGCTGATTCTCAACAAATAAATGTTTTCCAGAACTTCCTGGAATCAGGACATGGTCAGCCCTCTCCTGGTCCTGTAGGGCCTGGAACATAAACTCTGTTCTTGGCATTTGGGAAGCATGAAGCTGCTTGTTCTGCTTGGATTCAATTTCTAAAATGCCAGTTTCCAGCTGCATTATACTCCTGATCAGCCTAGCCATTTCATCTGCATTGTTAACTCTCTTGTTCTGTTTCTTTCCCAACGGTTCTTCTTTGAACTTTATTTCTTGTGACTGCCCACGGACCTTGCATTCAATAGGCTTTCTTTCCTGAGAACACATAACTAGATGGCATCTTTCACAGATATACTGGGTTCCTGGGAGACTGAACTCTTCTTGGATGTCTTTGGAAATCACTTCCCTGAGAAGCACAGTTTCATTTCTTTCCTCCCATCTGTGAGTTGGATTCCCACCTCCTGCCATGATCATGGGGCTGCTTACTCGACAGTGAAATGATCTGGATTTCAAAGAAACATCAGTTTCCTCTGGTATGACCTTCTCTAGGTCTAAACTGGTGATTTTACCAATGAAATCAGACCTGGCTCCAGAGGACTGGCTGTGTACACCACAGGCCTGGACCTGTGGTGGGAGTGGGTTCTGCTCTTCCCCACTTGCATTGGAATCACAAATGAAAAGCAAAGTCTTTGACTCACTGCCATCAAAGGCAACACTGCAGCGGTGCCATGCAGAGGCCCCTTCTCCTTCCTTGTGGACTGCGAGGCTGTACTTTTTATTTAAAATTCCAAATTGATTTCCACATTGACAAACTTTGAGGCTGCCAGAAGGGAAATGATGTGTATTCTGAGCTACAAAACAGTAAGTAGAATCATGGTTCCCTTCCTCACTCATATTTCTAGAGCATGTCTCCAGTTCCTCAGTAACTTCTCCTGTGTTCAGGTTAGTTGGCCTCTTTGTTGTCATCTGCTGAGATGGGTCAATCTTAGAATTCTGGCTATGTGACAACTTGGGTACATTATTCTTCCAGTGAGCTTTCTGGAGGACTTGATAGCTATGACCAAAGCCCCAGGCTTCCCTAGGGGGTGGGGATGGCACCCAGGCTTCCCTGCAGGCTGGAATCTCTAAGGCGGTTTCTGTCAGGGCATCCCTGCTTTTGGTTACATAGAATGTTTCCAAGGGAGGTGGCTGTAGAGAAGATGGGAAAGGACTCCAGGGAGCAGAGTGCAGGGATAGCTCTTGACTTGAAGTGGAAGCGCAAGAAGTGTCTGTATGTGTTCCAGCTGCTTCCTTGGCTTGCTGCTGAGAATCTGCCTTCTCTTCCAGCAGTGGGTGCGGGCGGCTGTGGTGACTTAACAGTCTTGAAGGGACAGCAGTGTTTTTCCTGAGAAGAGCCCCATCTTGAGGCCATTGGTCTGCTTTGGTGGCTAATGTATCATGATTATGATAAGCCTTCTTCTGGGAGAAATATTGCCCAGAGGAAGTTATCAGCCCAGGGTTCCTGCTATCTTGAAGGCATCTTTCCAAGCTGGCCTGTTTGACTTCCCATGCTTCTGTCACATAATTTGGTATCTTGTTTCCTGCTTTACAGCTCTGTGTGTTTATAGAACCAGAAGTCAGTGATTCTAGGTCTACTGAGTATGCCCTATTATAACTCACCTTCTCTGTGGTACTGAAGAGATCAGAAGCACTTTCTAAGTTGGCACTCAAACTGTCATGGTCTTTCTCTGCTTTTAGGTGCCTGGTTTTTGACAGGTGGGCTGGAAAGTAGCTGAAATCTAAATTTTTAGACAACCCAGGGCCAACTGGCAAGTGAGTATCTACTTTTTCAGAAGCTTCAGCCAGGGAGCTTGAGTCTTCCTCCAGGAAGGAGAAAACTGGCCTGGGCTCTCTCACAGCTTCCAAAACAGAATTAGAGATTTCAAGGAGATACTTTTGCTGAAGGGCAGCCCAGTCCTTCTCATGAATGGTGCCTACATGAGTCAATGATGTGGCAGAGGGAGCCAGCACACTTGACATGTCAGAATTGTGTAACTCTTCAGAGATGCCCTGATAGATCATGTCAGGGATTTCTTTGTCCTGAAAGACACCATCAACTCCCGGCCGAAGGAGCCTTTGACTTCCACAAACTGAGGGCTTGGCTGTATGAGAAGCAGAGGTTGTGTACAAATCTGAACTGCAGGTTGGCTCAGCACTGTCTTGGTGCAGTTTGCAGTTATATGGCAGGACTGTACCTGGTGGCTTTACTTCTTCGATGTTTAGCCAGTGTCCAGGCATCTCATCATGGGGCTGAATTCCATGTACATCAGGACTTGGACATAAAGACTGTACAGTTGCTGAGGGGCTGCTGAGATTGACCTTAGAATCACAAGAAAACCATGAATCCACAGATACCAGGGGGCTCCCTCTTGAAAGCTGCATGCTTTGGAGGGAGTTGGCTTGTTCTGACTCAGGCTGCTCACAGTGGAGCTGGAACTGAGGATCAAGGTAAAATGAATTGTTCTTTGGCTGGAGGGCATTTAGCCTGACTACTGTTCTGTGGTTGACAGGGCTAGGCCCGCATGTTGCCTCCTGGTCTACTGCAGCTAGGGTGGCCTTCTGCAGGTGCCAAAAAGTCTCTGTAGGCATCTCATCAGCAAAAGACTCCTCTTGCCTCTCTTCTTCTAGTTCTTCGGTGTCAATCAGGCTGTCCAAAGAAAAGCTCCTATGTGCTCGAGCACACACACTACTGTCAGAGGCCTTGGGGAGGCGACTTAGACAGCATGAAATTCTGGCCCTTGACTGCCCATGGTTCATGGTAGAACATTCACCCCCTGAGTTTTCTAGGGGGCTTTGGTACCCTTTCTCAGCAAGTGAATCCTCAGATATTTGACTGCTGTCACTTTCAGAGTTCTCTTGATCTGGAAGATCCCATTTTTCCTGAAGGCCTGCTGGCTTCAACAGCTCCTCTGGGACTTTGGCATAGATGTAAGAGAGAGAATCCACTGAGTAACTGCTACCAGTGTCAGATAAATCATTGTCCTTTTCTCTTGCACGATCCATTATAGGTCTGGAATCTGTGAAGGAGGCCAGAATGTCTGAATTCCCTGTGTTAGGTTGTCTTTTTAAAGGACTGCCATGAGGCAAACGAGAGCACTTTTTTGCAACATCTCTGCCCCTAGCTGCTGGCAGCACCCTCTGGTGTTTTTTTGAAGCCCTGCTTGGAGGAAATGGTTTGGATTCTGCCTGGAAAGTCTTGACTGCTTTCCCATGCCCAGCTGCTAGCTTGGACCCATTGAGATAAGTAGAGTGGGAAGTGGTTTCCTTAGGAGCCTTGTAGGTCCCACAGCTCCCTTCTTTTTGCCATCCAGTTTTTGTGTTGCCAGAGACTACTAGTCCCTTAGCCCTTCTGGTCTGTGTAGCAGTGGTCCTTGAACCATCCCTTGGCTTTAGCTTCTTAGTCACTAAGCCCTGGGAGGTCATCTGACAGGGCTGCTTACCCAATGTCTCAGTTTCCTGGCTATTGACAGACTCGTGGCTCACAGTGAGACAGGTGCCTTGGGCAGAGACTCCCCCTCTGGCTGAGGCTCCCCTGGCTGGACAGAGCTTTCTCCAGCTTGATGGATGGAGGCTGTTCCTCCCCAAGTATCCTGTCCTTGGAGGGTAAGCAGCAGCTTGGGGAATGGAATCTGCTGATAGGGTTTTCTCTGGTATTTGGTGAGTCAGGTCAGGCAGAGGTGGTGACATGGTGGAAGGGTTCCAGTTCATGAAAGCACTGTGAAGATAAGGAAAGCCATCTCAGAGAAGTAATATCCCCTATGGCCTATCAACAGAAGGAATGTGGCATGCCACTTAGATGGCTTGAAAGAAGGTGGAAAGCAGGCCAATGTCATTACAGTCCTCAGCTCAATACATACAAAAACAGACTTTTGACAACAAAGCCCTGGCTTTCAGAAGTCTCAGATGCATACTGTTACCCAACCCCCACCCTCAACTGCTTTATCATAGGAAAAAGTTTAACTGAATTATATTTCAAGAAATTGGCTATGTGAGGAAAGCAGGAACAACTTTAAAGCTATAAAGACCCAAGCAGATAAATCTATGAAACGGGACCACCTACAGAATTGACCCATTTCGCACACTGATAAGAAATAGGAAAGAATGACTATGGGAACTTCAGATTTAATAGTGGCAGACAGTATAGAAATACACCTAGATCTTGATTTGAAAAACCAAGACACACTTGAAGCCACTTGGGAAAATAGAGTGTGTCCCAGGTTTTAGAATCTATCAAGCTATCAACCTTGACCTTTGTAGATGTGATTTGGTAAGTATAACAGAATACATTTTCATAGGTACATACTTGAAGATATGGTGTTAAAACGACATGATGTTGCTTTAAATACTTTGGAAGATGGTAGGACTAGAAATGAATGTGGTACATATTTATAACTGCTGAAAATAGGTGCTGCATAAGTCACTCAATTTTTTGCAGTTTAAAGTTTTTCCATAATAAAAAGTTGTTTTCTGCCCAGTTATTTAAAGAACAGAGAGGTGAGCAAGCAGAACAGCAACAGACACTGTGTGATTCTTCTGAGCAAGGCCAAGGACACACAGAACAAGACATGAGCCTCTACTCTAAGGGATCTAGGAGATAATTTGCTTCCCATCCTGTGACAGCAGAGAGGGAGTGAGGAGCTGAGGAGGCAGATCCAAACATGAACCTGGGAGTCATGTGTGAGTTCAGGGAGGAGGCAACCTGTGGGATCAAAGAAGCCTGTGGGATAGGACATAAAGAGAACTACATCTGGACAGTCTAGGTCTAAAACACACATGAAAATGAGGCAAGTCCCTTCAAAAGAAGAAATTATCTGGGAGCAAGAGCAGCTCCATAAGGATAAGAACAGTCTGATTGTGTAAACATATGTAGACAAGGAGAGAAGCCTGAAGGACCAGAGGAATAAACAGGTCTCCACCTCACAGCTGAAGAAGCCCTTAGAAGTAAAGAACACTGCCTGGGTAACTCCAGACACTGCTCCTGGTACACATCACTGGTACCTGTGTAGCTGGGACAAACGTTGGCTGCAGAGCCTTTGGAGGCTCAGAGAGCTACAAGTTGTCCATCTGCTTCTACGCTGAGAACCTGGTCCTGTAGTGTTAGAGCTGGAGACCCAACTTGGGCCCTTGGAGGCACCATCATCCTGGAGCCAGTAGAGTGCCCTGAGCTGCTCCAGTCTCCTCTGGGTCTCCGGGAGCCTCCGCTTCTTAATAATTCTCTCCAGCTGTAATGAGATCTTTTTCTGCCTGATGTTCCACACTGTAGCCCGAGAAATGCGTCTCCGTAAGCGCTGCAGCTGTATCACCCTCTTATGGCTTTGGACCAGTGGGGATGGTAGAATCTGAGGAACTGTTGGAAGCCAAGCATCAGGTGCCACAAAGGCCTCAAGTTCTTTCTCTTCTCCACTGTTGTCTCCTTGCTGTATCTCCTGTAAGCTGGCTAGCCAGGACTCTCCTCTGAGTAGCCACTGCTGGTCTGGGAACCAAAAACACCCAGAGAGAAGGTCAGCACTTTGTGCCTATGGCTGCCTGGACTCAGACATCTCCAGTCATGGCCAGAGCTGTGAGGAGATAAAAGGGTTGGATAGTGTGATGTGGCAAGTGAGAGCTACAGGGCTTCCCTACTGAAGGGGAAAGAAAGGGAGATGTGTAGGCCTCAATGTAACAGTGGACAAGTGGGGCGGGTGGGAATGCACAGACAAGCACACTGGAGGGAGCCAGCAGGAGGTGCAGCATTCTGAGAGGCCATAGACAAGTCCACTTGCTTATTTCCAGCCCCCGTGTGTGAGCATCTTGTCTCTAAAAGAAGGGAGAGAACTCCCAGAACAAAAGATTCCATCATATCATAAAGACAGTAATGGCCAGAATACAGAAGGTTGGCAGCATGAGACTGAAGAAGGCAGGTGAAACAGACACCTTAGACAAAGACACCTACTGTCTTCTATCTGCTGGCTGTTATGTGTCTGGTCCAGTTCTGGCTCCTTCTGAACTCTACCCTGTCCTTCTATGGCTTGCTGTCTCAGATCCCCCACACAGCACTGCTGTTGCTCAGTCCAGGCTCTATGGGATATCTTGCCATTTCTTGATGTCTGCTGGTTCTTGTCACACTCTTCTTGTAGCACTTTCCTGTGACAAAAGGTCCAGGGTCACCCAAGCAAACCAAACTCAGGACAAGGGGTGGGAGATTTAAGTCCCTCTGAGAGTACTCGTGAATTCAACAGGGTAGAAAGGACTTCAGACATCTGTCAACTTGGAACAAATAGGTGTGTTGTCACAGACAACTCATGAAGTCATAATATAGGAGCAGAGAAAAGTCATTACACTACAATATTCTTAGAATTGTGGGTTTAGTAGAAACCCAAATTCACTTTCATAAGGAAATCATGAGAGTAAACCAGTTTTTTGTTGTTAATTTTTTTTGTGTGTGTGTTTGTTTTGTTTTTGAGACAGGGTATCTCTACGTAGCCCTGGCTGTCTGGGAACTCACCACACAGAACAGGTTGCCCTTGAACTCACAAAGCTCCACCTGCCTCTGCCTCTGCCTCCTGAGTTCTGGGATTAAAGGCAAGTGCCACCACACCTGGATCATAAGGAAATCAGAAGAGTAAAACAAATGTTAAAGGTACAAAAAGCTGAGTGTGGTAGCACATGCCTTTAACCCTAATGTTCTGGTGGCAGAGGCAGGAAGATTATGAGTTTGAGGTTAGTGAATATGAGGAACAGGACTTGGATCCCCAGAATACACATAAAAGACAAGCAAGCAAGATAGCTACCAGGAATCCCAGGCCTTGAAAGGCAGAGGGTCCCCAGGGCAAGTTGGCTAGTCTAGAACTGGAAGCTCTAGGATCACTTAGGGACCCTGCCTCAGTAAACAGAGTGGAACCATCGAGAGACACTGATGTCAACTTTAGGCCCCCCCCCACACCAAACATGCACATGTGTGTGTACACATACAGAAGAGCAACACACACCCACACCAAACATGTGCACATGTGTGTGTACACATACAGAAGAGCTACACACACCAAACATGTGCACATGGGTGTACACATACAGAAGAGCAACACACACCAATACCAAAGGTGTGCACGTGTGTGTACACATACAGAAGAGCCACACACACACACACACCCAACATGTTCACATGGGTGTGTACATACAGAAGAGCTACACACACACCAAATGTGCACATGCATGTGTACATATACGGAAGAGCTACACATACACACCAAATGTGCACGTGTGTGTACACAGACAGAAGAGCTCTGTCCTTTAAAAATGAAAGAATTATGGGTTTCTACTAAAATTCCCTCAGGAAATACAGAAAACTTTAGAAATACTGGGAAGAAAAAAATGTTAAAACAAAATATTTTGCACATATATTTACATATCATGCTTGTATTACTACTTCAAACTTGAGCCACAGTAATGGCTGAACTATGAACATAAACCCATCACATGAGGCCTAGATAAGCCCAGCTAAAACCCATAGAACACCCAATTCAAGTGGCAAAGTGGGGATCCATATATTCTGAATCCCCTGGGGTTACTCGGCTTCCTTCCCAGAGTGTTTCCCCAGCTCCCAAGTTTACAACTTGCTTTCTCATAGGAGAGCTCTCATTCCTTTCAGGGAAGCAGCAGCTGCTGCAGTTCTGCATGGGGCTGCCAGGGAGACTGTCCAAGATGACACAGCATGTTTACCCAAGCTGCCACATAGCCTCAGCCAGAAGGATGCCTCTGCTAAGCACATTTTTCAAGTTCCCTGGGCAGCTAAGGACCTACATCTAACAATGGCTGCCTTCCATCTTAGGTAACTCCAGCATCCCTGTATACTACCTGGTCACCAGATCCCCTACTAAACTTTCCTACAGTTAGACATGATGTTACAGATCAGTCTGGCTAAAAGGAACAAAAGAGCTTCCAGGGGCAAACCCACCAGATATCAGGCTGAGAAGGAGATTATATATAGAAAGGATAATGAGGAAGTAGAAAACCAGCTGCTGCCAATTACATATAAAAGTAACTCAAGAAAGCAGGTGAAGTAGGATCGAAGGCAAAATCTCAAGATGTTTTCTTATTGTTCTCGCATGTCCTGTTCCCTCATATGCATAGCTCTGCATTGTTGGTTATGACAGAGTAAAGAAGAAATTCGTTTTTTAGAATCCAGAGGAAGCCATATATTCTGTAAGCTAACAGTTATATATTATGAGCTCATGCGCCAGGATTTAAAAGGAACTGTGGGGAAGTGAGGTTTAGAAGCAGTACCAGAGATGCCTGCTAATACCTCCCAGTTAAATCTTGTTGACAGGGGAGATACATGTCTTTCAGAGAAGAGAGATGAAAACCAAGCAGGAGGGCCATGGCCACCTCCCTGTCAGCTACAAACTCAGCAGCCAGCTCAGCATTTTCAGATTGCTCAGTCAGTTTTTAATTGGTGTAGCAAACTCTTGAGAGAAACAGCTTGAGAAAAGGGTTCATCCTAGCTCCCCAGTTCAGAGGTCCCAGTCTCTGGGAGATCACCTCCACAGCTTGGGCAGGCACATTGCTCTGGAGCACATGTGGTGGAGTAAAACAGTGCCTCACCTCATGGTGAATGGATAGAGAGAGGGGAATGGAGGGGGTGTAGAGAACAATGCACCCCCAAGAATGCACCTGCAATAACCTACTTCATCCATTCCTACCCTACCTCCTAAAGGTTCTGGACCTCAAAAGTCATGCAACAAAACAGCCTATGGAGAACATTTTATTTTCAAGTCATCACACATGCCCAAGTCAGTCTGGAGCAGACTTGTTCAGACCATAGTAGTTATACAAATATTTCCCAGTTCCATTCTGTTACAGACTAATAAGCAAATCCAGGAGACTCCACTGGTACAAGCAGTAGATTCTTACCTCTTCTTCCAAAGTGCAGGACAGAGACCCAGTCTTGAGGCAGTGACATCTCCATCCAGGTCCAGCCATTCCAAAGAACCACTACTGCAAAGAGCTTCTCCAACCTGAAAAATGAAGGGAAAGGCATGAGCCCAATGGAGCAATGTGGAAGCTTCCCAAACAGCCACTCAGAAATTGCAGCCGTACTGACCTGAGGTCTGTGGTGTCGCAGCAAAGCAGCCTCAGCAGGGTGGTTAAATCGGAACTTCTGTGCTTTCCCCAGTGTTATAACAGCTCCTTCAACACACAGACAAGAGTTTAGTCCATGACTGTGCTCCGAGTACATAACTGAGAGAAACTAATGCCTACATTAAATGGATAATTTTGTTAAGTTGATATGCATTTTATACATCTCACAATTATAATCAAATAAATAGCAGGGCAAGTTCCAGGTAGGGTAGTTGGAGTACTAGAGGCATACTGACACCAAGTATTTATAGCATACAACCGAGAAAGAAAAAAAAACAGACTTCACGCAGTCTTGACATATGCTCTCATTATCACAGATGAAGAAGAACTTGAGGCACAGATAAGCAAGCACAAATTTCCACAAGTCATTCTCTACTCTTGGGTCCTAGGAGGAGGATCATATTAGGAAGTCTTCAGGTCTCTGGGTGCAGAGGCTGAATAATACATGGTTGAAGCTTGCTTTATTGAGCCCATTAGATCCATGAGATTGAAGATATCCATCATTCACCTAGATATACACAGGTAGATAGACAGTCTTACCTTGAGTCAGGCGGCAGGAAGCAGTGACCTCTCGGCCATTGACTGTACAGCGTGCCCCGTGGGTAGGCCGGAGAATGACCACTCCACAAGTGCTAGTGATGGTGCAGTGGTCCCTCTCAATCCACTGGCCCTGAAGGACTAAAGAGGTGGGGGAGGGGCAACCTGAGTGGGAAATCAATCAGGAGAATGCCTCTCCCAGTTTTTACAAAATTCAACCCAACAGCCAGAATATTTCCCATCGGAACAAAAAAGGAACACCCAACACCTGAAACCACCCAGAGCGGAAAGTCTCCCTGTGTATAAGCCGCCTCCTTCCAACTCCCAGACCCAAAAGCTAGCAGCAGAAAGAAAAGCAGATGCTCAACACTTCAGAGATTCCTTTTCTCTCCAAAACCATCAGCTTCCTGTAGTAACCCTTTCAGGAACAAACAGCTGCCCATGTAGACCACCTACCAATGTCCGGTTCCTGGTCTGAATCAATTCTTCCTATTTTTGTTGTCCCCTCCTGTGGGGAGGAAAGAAGGAAGACATCCCAATATGAATAAAAATGAGACATAGCCCCATCCTCAAAGCTCAGTGCATATTTGTGTGTAATCAGTGTCTTCCCATGCCCATTTCTGCACTGTTAGAACCATTTCCCAATTTCAGTCTAAGCTGTCCTGACCTTCCATCCACTCACTCTGCAGTCCAGGAGGACAAAAGCAAACAGTAACACTAATAGTAATACACAGCACTGGCTATTTGCAAAGCCCAACAAGTGCTGACAAACTCTGAAGTCAGGGAATAGATATAGCTGCTGGTCAGAAATTCTCCAGTAAAAGAAAGGGGCAGACATAGTCTTTATTCTCAAAGCAACTAAAGTTAGTGTGGCCTGTATTTGATCAAAGATTCATGGATTGTTACCTTCTTGCTCTGTAGAGGAAGCATAACAGATGCCAAAGTCTATGAAGGGTAAAGCACAAATAGGGACAAGGTGTCTCTAGAATCAAAAGAAACTGGAAGAGAGTAGAAGAGAGCACAGGCAACTAGTGTTAATACAAGCAAACCATTGAATTAGTAGAGGACTATGGCCTTTGGGCCTTGGATTATGACAAATCCACTATAGACTATACACGATTAAGGAGGTAGAGACACGATGACAAAGATGCTTATTTGAAGGCCTATCTTCACCACTTCTTAAGTAACCATTTGCTATGTCCCAGGTATTATACTAAGTGTTTTGTAGACATCTTTTTGTTTGCTTGCTTCTCCCCTCCCCCCACCACCACCAGACAGGGTTTCTCTGTATTGCTTTGGAGCCTGTCCTGGAATACACTCTGTAGACTAGGCTGGCCTCAAACTCAGAGATACACCTACCTCTGCCTCCCAACTGCTGGGATTAAATGTATGTGCCACTATGTAGCCTGGGCTGGCCTTGAACTCTCAATTTCCTGCCTCTGCCTCCCATCATTTACAATGATGCTTGGCTTTATTTAATACTTTAACAACCCCAAATGCAACAAATGCTGGTATTACTGTGTCTTTTTTCTGTTTGTTTGTTTGGTTTTGGTTTTCCAAGACAGGGTTTTCTCTGTGTATAGTCCTGGCTGTCCTGAAACTCAACTCTGTAGACCAGGCTTGCCTTGACTTCACAGGGATCCTACCTGCCTCTACTTCCTGAGTGCTTGGATCAAAGGTGTGTGCCACCACCACCTGACTTACTGTATCCTTCTTACAGCCTTCTTAGAGGCCAGGAATCTGAAGTAAATTGTCTAGAAAACCTATTTGCTAAATAGAAAAGCTGTGGCTTTTTTCTCAGCCTCACCATAAAACCTCCCTAATGGGAGGTTTTCAAAGTGACTAAAATCACCACTAGACCACACTTTCAGCAGCAAGGACAGGGAGACCTTGTAGGTTTCCCAAGACAGCATATGAATCCTGGGAGCAAAGACATTCTGTCTTGCTTTATGCTTCTCTACCTCTCCTCCCTGAATACAAGTCAACACTGCCAAGGGAGGAGTATGATGGCTGATCTTGGCTGTCTGCTTGACTATATATGGAGACAACCAAAACCCTAGCATCTGGACAGGGCATTTTAGGATCCAATCCAAGGGAATCTCTGAGGTAAGAAGACCCATCCTGTGGTGGTTTAAGAGAGAATGTTCCCCATATCCTCATGTTTGAATGCTGGGTCCCAGTTAGTGGACCTGTTAGGGAGGAATTAAGTACGGCCTTGTCAGAGTAGGTATGTCACTGGGCTCTGAGGTTTCAACAGCCCTCACCAGGCCCAGACTTTCTCTCTCTCAGCCTTTCAGCTTTGAGATCAGATGTGAGCTCTTGGCTACTGCCCCAGTGCCGTACCATGCCATGCCTGCCTGCCTGCCTTGACTAACCCTCTGAAACTGAAAGGAAGCCCTCAATTACATGCTTTTGTTTTATAAGTTGACTTGGTCATAGTGTCTCTTCAGATCAATAAAACAGTAACTAAGACACACTCTAAATCTGGGTCACACCTTCTGGTGTCAGCCCATATAACAGGACATGGAAAGATGCTCTTTGGCTTTTTGCTTGCTTGTCCTCATTCCTGTTGGCAAGTTCATCTACTCTGTTACTAAGGCATTCCTTCACTGGTGTTACAACCTACTTCTTCTGGATTCCAATGTAGAGTTAAGACCAGATGAGTCTTTGTGGACAGAATAACTACTGGATTCTTGGCTTTTCTGTTGGGAAGCCACCACTGTTGGACTAGCTGGACCACTACCTGTAAACCATTCTAATAAATTCCCCCACCACACACCCATTTTATCAGTTCTACTTCTCTAAGTCTGCATGTTAGTTCAGGGTCTCTTGATGATGGAGTGTGTTCCTCCCAAAAGAATAAGGGCCTCAGAATATCATGAAACTATGACTAAAAGGTGATGAACTCTCAGATAACAAGCACTTAGGTGATCACTGTGTTTGCTGTTCTTTTCACTTCTTTCTGCCAGCAGTTACTGACACAAAGGTAATTATAAGTCATTACAAGGTATCAGCCATCTCTGCTCCACCCACCTGTCCTGTTCCACTAAGGAACTTTCCAAGGTGGCCCAAGAGAAAAATGTTTATACTACCAAGGTGTGTGACCAAGGGAGCAACTAAATAAAAAATGCACAGAATCTTGGATCACTACAGTTGTATACTTATTTAAGCCACAATCAAAACAAACCATACAAATAATATGTGGGATCCAGGCAGTGATGGCACATGCCTTTAATCTCAGCACTTGGGAGGCAGAGGCAGGCGATCTCTGTGAGTTTGAGGCCAGCCTGGTCTACAAAGCTACACAAAGAAACCCTGTCTTGGGAAAAGAAAAAAAAATATATATGAGGATGGGACTAGAGAGATGGCTCGTTGATTAAAAGCACTGCCTGCAGTTTTTCCAGAGGACCTGGGTTCAATTCTCAGCACCTACATGGTGGCTCACAACTTTCTGTTACTCTCGTACCAGATGATCCAATGTCCCCACATTGACCTCTGTGAGCACCAGGCATGCGCACAATACACAGACATACATGCAGGAAAAACAACCATGAAATAAAAAACACAAAACAGGAACAAAAAAGAATATGGCTCCATAAAGGGCAGAAATGCCAGAATTAGAAATAAACTAAAATGCCACCTCAGTGGTCCACTGATAGACGCACCAAGGAGCAGGGAGACTCTGAATTCACTGACTAAATGAGAATTAACAACCCTATATTCAGATGGAGTCACCACTGCCTCCAGGTCTAAGATTCAAACATAGCCATGGTTCTTACTCCTCTGCTGCTACCCCAAGCTTTCCCACCTAACATCTCACTTCCTCTCCTCACTCGAGATTCTATCAGTGATTCAGAAAATGGTGACGTTTTAAAACATCTGCCCTAGCCTCCTCACCTTGAGGTGATAAATTACAACACCTGTGCTGAGCACGTCACCTTCCAAAGCCATCAGGTGTGGCAGGCTGGAGTCGATGACCACCCCAGCCCTCCTCCTGTTGATATCCATACTATAATGCTCCATGAGTGCCTTCCAGTCATTCCACTCCCGAGTCCAGGCTTGAGTCCGCTGGTCTATCTGGAGAGGTACAAGAGATGACAGACTCCCTCCCTGTGTGGGGAGCAGACTGAAGTGCACTCGCACCTGTTACCCCAGTATTTTACTTCCTCATGATCTCTGCTGTTACTATTCAGGACCTCAAAGAGGCCCCTGTACCTTCTCATCTGTGAGTGCTTTGTGTGTTTTAAGTTTTCTTCAATAAGCAAGTATTACTTTCATAAATGGAAGCTCCTTTGATAAATGCTTACGTTTTTCCTCAGTGAGCATACATTGTTCTTTTAAATAGAAAAATATGAATGTGTCATGGTGTAAATATGAAATGCCTCACAGGCTCCTGTGTTAAAGACTTGGTCCCTAGCTGGTGGCATTGTTTTGCGATGTGATGTAAACTTGGTAAGTGGGGCCTAACTGGAGGAAGTAGGTCACAGGAAGTAGAAAGATGTAGCATGTCCCTGGCTCCTTCCTGCCTCACTTCTCATGCCCAGCTGCCATTATGTTCCCTTCACCAGGATGATCTGCCTTACCACAGGCCCTCAGCAATGGGCCAGCAACTACGGATCATGGAAACCTACAATCTGTGAAAACTCAGAGCCTGTATGTGATTCTATGTGTACACTTCTTCCGCCTCCATTGTTTGGTCATGTGTTCTGCTCTCTGTGTGTACCTGCACAGATGTGACCACATGCAGAAGCTAGAGAGGCTGACGGGTAATCCCATTCTACCTTGCTTTTTACATGGGTTCTGTGGACCTGAACTCAGGGCCTCATGTTTGTACAGTAAGAGTTCTTACCCACTCAGCAATCTCTTCAGCCCCAAAATAACCTTTCCTCCTCTCTCAGGTAGCTCTAACTCATAGCAACAGAAACCTATCACAGAATGTTATTCCAATTAACTGATATTGCCCAGATATCTACAATTACAATTACCCTTTCTGCATCTTTTTTCTTTGTTTTTCTTTTGTTTTATTTTTTGAGATAGGGTTTTTACTGTGTAGCCCTGGCTGTCCTGGAACTCACTCTACCTGCCTCTGCCTTCCAAGTGCTGGGATCAAAGGTAAGCACCACCACCTCTGCATCTTATTTTTATGTACTCTATTTTTAGGATTCCTCTTATGACCTAACATTTCTTCCCACATATGTAGCACCTTGAGTTATATTAAGTCTGCACCTGGCTCAAAGATACACACAGCACTCACTGACAGGAATCCTCCCAGACTGACTGTATGGAACTTGTCTGAAGACATGTAATAATAAAATAGCAGCAATAAACGATATAACACTGAATGATAACTAAATGCCAGGAACACAGAGTTTTATTTCTTCCTCTTCTTTTTTTGATTTAAAAATGTTGTTGAGCTTGTCTCCAAAACTTGTGTTGATGCATACAAATGTGTATTTATGGGATACCATGTATGTTTTCATTCCATGCAGATACAGTGAACATCTCTGGGTGGTGAGAACGAAGTCCTTTCCCCTATTTTATGAAGTTTCCACAGCTCACCTGGGTTGTTTTTCTTTTTCACACAATATGTTTTCTGCTCGTACTGGGTCTCATTTCCCCTGCTGTGTGCCTTCCCACTCTTGTGGATGCCCTCAGAGTTTTAAAGTCAACACATCAAAGCTTAGAGGTCTTGGGGTAAAGACTGAGGAACATGAGGGACTATGTTAAATTCAAGGTCTTTGCTCCCTTCTGGTAGACACTGTAATGATTTAAGACAGAGCCAGCAGATAAACTAGTAACTGATCAACAACTTTCTATCTAATACAGTGTCTCTGTGTGTTATTTGGGGCTAGTGTGGCTGTGGGACCAGACCGGCAGGGAAAAACCTACTCATAACAGTAATGTATGCAAAGACTTATCCTGGAAACAGAAGAATTAAGAGCACTCAGAAAAAATAATTGGAGTTAGGAAAGTAACTTCTCATAAAGGAAATACTTAGAGGAAATATGCAAAATTTATATACAAGTATTTAAAATACTCTAGCAAAATTATTTAAATATTATTGAGTTGTGTTTGTAAAACCAAGGAAACCATAAGTCACCTGTAAGGGGCTGGTTTGGACTGGGTTTCTAGCATGTGGCCAGTTATGTGGCCTGGCACACTCTAGAGAAGACTCTAATGAGAATAACTCCCCTCCCCACATCAGTTCTGGGCAGCCACCTCCACCCACGTTCACAGTCTAGATCAAATAGCAGCAGACACATATTCAAGTCCAGCTCTGCTAGCCTAGGGAAGGTGAAAGGGCTAATGAGCTTGAAATCAGTTTTACGCTCAGTTTCATCACCCATGAATAATGAAAGATACTTTGCTTCCTTGAAAGATTGGTACTCTTCTTCATATCTTAGTTATTAGTTATATATTAGTCATATATATATGTATATGTGACTAATAGTCATATATTAGTTATTAGTTATAACTTTTTTAAATTTTAGATAAAAAAGGAGACATTTGGCGATATTTTGTTTGTGCTCTAACAAATAAAGCTTTCCTGAAAATTAGAGGTAGAGCTTTAATCCCAGCAACAGGTAGGTGGAGACAGGAAGTTATATGGCTGGGCAGAGAGGAATATAAGATGGAAGGAGACAGGAACTAGCCCTCTTTGGTCTGAGGATTTCATAGAGGAAGGAACTCTAGTGGCTGGCTGCTCTGCTTATCTGACTCTGGGTTTTTATTACTAAGAACAATTAGGACTCATGCTACAGGGTGGTATTAAGATGAGGCAATGAGCCTCATCAAAGAACATAGATTAAAAAAATATGGGTTAATTTAAGTTATAAGAACTAGTTAGGAACAAGCCTAAGGTAAGGGAGAGTTTTTATAATTAATAAGTCTCTGTGTTGTTATTTGGGGCTAGTGGCGGAAAAGAAAGTCTGACTACAACAGAATTGTGGCGATATGAGAGATCTGATAATAGGATTTAAATCCATGACCAACAAAACCCCTCAAAAAAAAACCATCCAACCAACCAAACAAACAAAAAAAGAAAACAACAAAGGTCTGGGTTTTTTTCTTTTAAATGTCTATGGGAATCACAGTTATTCTGCTTCTCCATTCTTCCTTAGTGGGTCTTTTTGCTTTTACTCTTTCATACTCTATTGGATGTCACCAATCTGATTCAAGAAGCTGACCCCACATACATCACATTCATCCTTTCTGAACTGGCTTTCATCTTCTGTTCGCAACTCTGCATGGTGAACACTGTCTTCCCTACAGCACATGCTTCCATGCCGTCACTGTCCCGTGCCACTCTCCCAGCTCATGGCTTTGCTTATGTTATCTCTCCCTCATGCAAAATGCTCTTCTCCCTCTCTAACAACTATCAGTCCTTCAAAGTCTGCTTCAAAGCCAGTTCTCTGCCTGCCAGCACATGATTGCTGCTCCAAAAATTACAGGCTATAATGGTTTCTTCCTTATCAGACACCTCATGAAGCACTCCAACCTCTATGTATCCATCTAAATGGTCTGTGGCCACCTGAGGCACGGACTCCTGTAACCCTTGAAGCTTCACACTGAGTGCTCAATCTGTGAATACATGCTAGTTACCTGACTAGGAAATTTACTAGATTTGCTAACTATAAAATAATTTTTCTAGGCTACTCACACTATCCAAACGAGGCTATCATGAACCTGAGAAAATAACTACAAAGAAAGCCATTACTATCAACTAAGGCAAATACCTTCCCTACTCAAGGCTCAATGAAAGAAAAATGATTCTGAACTACAAAGACCCTTTCAGCCCCACCAAGGGGAGTACACTTAGATGAGCAATAACAGAAGGAGACAGCAAACTTACTTCCAGGATATTTGAAAGGTTTGCAAATCCTTCTGGAGGACTAGCTCCTTCTTATCCAGTTCATCATTTAATAAGCTGAAGTTCCTCTGCACAGAGGTTGGGGGAGTGGGGGGCTGATGAGTTCTGATGTTTTCCATCAACTACAATTAAGTTTCATCATTACACTTAAGAAGGATAAAGTATAGATAAAACAAAGACTTTACCACCAACATCAGAAATAAGTCAGGAACATTTGGTATTTGGGCTCATGTAAGTACAAAGGAGGAGAATTGAAATAAATTTTTCTCTAGGGCCCAATTCCACTTATCTGTCTCCACAAAGAGCAAGGGCCAATAAGGCAAGTGTCTTCTATATAAGAGGTGGCACAAGGAGAGGGCATCCAGCTATCTGAAGCTACACAGAAAAATCAGGGAAATCCTTCTGCCTTTGATCCATCACTGTCCACTGAAAACAGGAAGCACAGAGTCATCTAGATGCTCTGCAAGCCCAACAACCTGAGTAATATCCCCAGAGGCCAAGGGAGAAGGTCAGAACCAACTCTAGAAAGCTGTCTTCTGACCTCTCCACTCATGGTCACACAAACACACAATAATAATAAAATTTGAAAACATGGACATGGCAAACCCCACCCATGGGGGGGACAAGACCACCCATCATTTGAATATGGAAGTATTGGCTGCCACATACCAGTTCAAATCTCAGTAGCATGGCTTTCAGCCTATCAATCTCCTCCCTGAGTTCTCGGATGAGCTTCACATTGGCATCCTGAAACACAGAGAACTCAGTCACCACTGGCTCATAGCAGGTCCCAAACTACTATGAAGAGCTAGTTTGGAGAGCTGTTGTTCTTTGGGAGTGACTTCTCAAAGTATAATCCCAGACCCACAGTATCAGATTCATTCAAGAACATGTGACAAATGCAAATTCTGGCTTCACCCCAAAAAGCAGTTCTTGAGAGTTGGGATTCAACCATGTTTAACAAACTATTCAGGTGACTCTTTTGCATATGAACTTTGAAAATCACCTTAGAATAGGCCAGGGAAGCTCACAAATGCTAATCCTCTTGTATGAGGATTAAATCTGATACATGCTTAATCGCACTGCCTTTGAAAACAGCTCCTAGGTGGGCTAGGTATGTCTGTTCATCAGCTGTAACCCCTGCTCTGAAACATTTCACTGAAATCTCCAAGAGGTAAGAAATACTTGCAATGTTCTTGTCATTACCCTGCTTTCAAAACCACAATTTCTTCATACTCCCAGTTTAATCCAAAAGAGAAGTCAACTGCAATTTATACAATAAAACTCAGACACAGTTATCAGTATTAATTAAAAATGAAAGCATCAAACAGAAGCTTCCAACTGACTTTTCTTAGAGTGGCAATCTTACACTAGGGATCATCTGAAGAATGGCCTTAAAGAAACACCTGGAGGAAATTACAAAGTTTATAAAATTACAAAGAAACACTCGAAAACAGTAGAGATCATAGAAAGGCAGGGACTACATTGGGAGAAAGGAGCATCGTTTGCAGAAGGCAAGTCTGGATGAAAACTGTGCTCATTACTGCTCTGTCAACTTGACACAGCTCGTCATCTGGGAAACTGGAACCTCCACAAGAAAACGCCTGTATCAGACTGGCCTACAGGCAAGCCTGTGGGGTATTTTCTTGATTATTGATTGATAGGGAGGGTCCGGCTGACTGTGGACAATGTCACTTCTAGGTAGGTAGTCCTAGACTCAAGGTATGCAAAACTCAAGATGAATGAGCCAGCAAGTAGAATAGTTCCAGGTTTCTACCTCAGCTTCCTGAGATGATTAACTATAATCTATATGATGTGCCAACCCCCTTTTTTTGTGGGGGGAGGCTGAATAAGATATATCCTGTAAGTCTTAGACATTTGAATACTAAGTTGGTGGCTATTTGGGGAGGATAAGGAGGTGTGGCCTTGCCAGAGGGAATGCATCTCTGTGAGTGGGTTTTGAGATTTCAAAGCCATTGCTAGCCAGCTCTCTCTGCCTCCTGTGAGACTGAGATGTAAGCTCTCAGCTGCTGCTCCACACACTTGACACCTGCTACATCTACTTTGCCACCAAGGACTCTAACCCTCTGGGACTATAAGCCCCAAATAAACTCTTACTTCTTCTATAAGTTGCCTTGGTTATGGCATTTTACCCCACAACAGAAAAGTGAGAAATGCACCTCTTTTCCCAAAGTTGCTTTTCTTCAATGTCTTATCATGACAACGGAGAAGCTAACTATGACAAAAATAATGAGTAAAAAAAAACAGAGAATACAGAACTTCAAACTGTATTAGACTGGGACTTCCAATGAAGGCCTTACCTCATTCACCTGTGGCTTGTTGACGATGTTTTTGGCATTGGATGCATATCTCAGAGTACTCATGGTCTCACTGTAGCTGGTATGTGCAGGGGACACAGCTGAGGTAGAAAGATAAAGCTGAGAAATACACTGGGGTCCTTCCACCCCAGCTTTACTCACTTGTCTTACTGCTAATGCCCCCACTGCATGAGATACTCTTGAGAGACTGAGGAACAAAAGTGGTCAGTACATTTTCTAGGCACAATACTAGCTCCAAAGAGAAGCAGATCCGGCATCCCACTTACTGGCAACCATGATGGTTTTGGAGTTGCCTCCGAGGCTCTCCTTCAGTAGCCAGGTCAGCACAGAGTCCCGGTATGGGATGTAAGACTGCCTCCTTACAGGTCCCCCTCCACTGCTGGTCCCAGATGCAGTGCTAGGAATCCCACTGTCACCTCCACTGCTGGCTGCACTACTGAGGCTTTGACAGCTGCTGAACACTTGGGAGTTTTGAGCTTAATATTTAAAAAAAAAAAGAAGACTAAGAAGAAGTAGAATACAGAAGGGATTATGAAGCAATTACACTAAAACAAAGCAACTGCAGAACACAGAGTGAGTATCATACTCATTTTCTGCACATGCTGGGAGACTGAAGCTTATATCAGACTTTGAACTTGGGATATGGACCATTTTAACATGATTCTATAATAATGGTTACTGATATTCTTTCTAAAACCACCAGGTTTTCATGCTCAAACCAAAAAGTAACCCTACCAAAAAATAATCTTGAAAGCATCTACCCTAATTTGACAAAATGAAAGTAGTATGAGTTATTCCAAAGTCTCCCTCCCACTCCAACCACCCTGAATTCATCAGCAAAATACCTAAAGTGGAGATGACAATCCCCAGAGTCACAAGAGACTTGTTGATATTGGCACCTTCAGTAATCCGGTTCTTGCAGTAACTGGGATCTGCTCTCTCACTAGAACAGAACAATAAAAGTAAAAACTAAAGCAAACAGGACACTATTCTACATGCTTTTGGACCCACCATGTTGCAACAGACCCATAGAACCAGTTCCCTTATATTACTCTTTCCTGTGTCATTATCCTGAACACTTTCCTTCTTTCTGGAATCAGACAGAAGCAGATCCAGCATCCCATTTAGTGGCAACCATGACAGTTTGGAGTTGCCTCCAAAGGAGGCTCTCCTCAGCATCGAGGTCAGCATAGAGCCCCAGAACGGGATGTAAGACTGTAAGACTGACTCCACACAGACCCCTCTGTAAATCCTGCTAGTGACTTTTTGATGAGGGGAGGGGAGTGCCAGAGCACTTTAGGCCAAACAATGCCAGTCTACAGTATTGATGGTAGCAGTCTCTCACAGGTAGACTTGCTTGCTGATACTCCTTCAGACAGGACTGAGCTTCCCCAACCCCTCACTACATCGCTGTGCTGGGACTAAAGCCAGGGCTACACCGTCACACTTAGTTTTTAAGACAGTGATGCTCATTTTTTGTTTTTGGTTTTTTTGTTTTGTTTTGGTTTGGTTTGGTTTTTTTTTTTTTTTTGAAATTCCATATTGAAAAAATTTTGTTATATATTATTGGTGTTTTACTCTTCTGTCTCTTTTTGGTTGTTTTGAAGGGCCCACCACCCAGCTCCCAAGTCAATCACACAGGGAGTCTTATTATTACTTATGAATACCTGGCCTTAGCTTGGCTTGTTGCTAGCCAGCTTTTCCTAACTTTAAGTATCCTGTTAACCTTTTGCCTCTGGGCTGTTCCTGTTCTCTTACTTCTGTAAATTTTATTCTTACTCTGTGGATTGCTGTGTAACTAGATGGCTGGGTGGCTGACCCTGATGTCCTCTCCTTGATCAGCTCTCTTCCTATTTATACTCTTGGCCTGCCAGCTCCTGTTTCACTATTGGACATTCAGCTTTTTTATTAGTACCGCCAGGTGTTCTAGACAGGTACAGTAACACAGCTTCACAGAGTTAAACAAAGGCAGCATAAACAAGTCACACACCTTAAAATAATATTCCCCAACAATCACATACTTTCATATGACATCATCCTCAAATTTTTCTTCTTTCTGAATACATATTTGGCTACAATATGAATACAGTATGAATGCTTACTTCTAATAACTCAAAGCACAATATCTTTTTTAAAAATATAAAGTAGTTTATACAGCTACAGTTGATGGAAAAAGTATACTAACTTAGCTTATTTCATAGAACAGTTGTTTTTTAATCCTGTCTGCACAATGAGATCAATGCAACACCAGACTTTTCCTCACCTACATAATCACTCATTATTCTGATGTGAGATGTAGACTTTATAAGGTGCCTTGTTTTTCAAAAAGACAGGGCTTCTCTGTGCAGCCCTGGCTGTCCTGGGACTCACTCAGGAGACCATGCTGGCTTTGAATTCAGAGAGATCCACCTGCCTCTGCCTCCTGAGTGCTGGAACTCAAAATGTGCTTGGGAAGTTTTAAAAGGTCCCAACAGGTAGTTGAGACTCATATCCTAGGATATGGAAGAATTTCCCAGTTCTTGACCTTTAAGCTAGCATTCAAGAATTCCTTCTTTTGTAATCTCAGGGTGATTAAAACATTTAAACAAGGCAAAACCTAGGATCACACCTATTCCATGTAAAGTGGGCAAGAAGCAAGGCCGTGTCAAGGGAACAATAATTCTCCCTGGCTTTGAAACCCCAATTACCTGCCTGCTAGGTCCACAAGGTTGATCTTGCTGACAGTCTCTGAGGGGAGGTTATTCTGGAGGATTGCCTAAAAGACAAACACCATTTAAAGTTGACATTCAGAATGATTAGCACCCCCCATACTGTCCTCACCAAAGTCCTAAATCAGCATCATTTCATTAAAATCACAACACAACTTACATCGAGCAGGGAAAAGCTCCAGACGCTGAGTAGTTTTAGGAGCACTAAGAATGTTAGTGCCACTTATCAAGCAAGCCAATCAATGGACTCTGACTTTCACCAGCAAAGAGCCACAGCAGGTATGATAACCCTCGATCAGGTCTGTTATTCTGCCCAGTCATAGCATGTTGGTTTTCTAGGGTAAGAACTTTACATGTTCCATTCAGCAATCCACCACCAACAAAACTATTTCTCATTATTTCTCCTCCCCAAACTCAATGTGGGTTTGTTTTATAATTTTTTGGTTTTTTTCCAGACAAGGTTTCTCTGTGTAGTCCTAGCTGGCCTAGAACTTACTCTGTAGACCAGGCTGGCCTCAAACTCATAGGGTTAGGGTTAAGAGAGATCTACCTGCCTCTTTTTCCTGAATGCTAGGATTAAAGACATTTATCACCAAGCCTGGCTTGCTTTATAAATTTTTAAAGATTTGGCTGGGCGGTGGTAGTGCATGCCTTTAATTACAGTACTCGGGGGGCAGAGGCAGGTTCTATGCGAGTTCAAGGCCAGCCTGGTCTACAGCTCAAGTGTTAGGACAGGCTCTAAAGCTACACAGAGAAATCCTGTCTCAAAAAAATAACAACAAAAAATTAAGATTTATTTTAATTATTTTATTTTAGTTTTTTAATTGTATGTATGTGTGTTTGTGTCTCTGGGGGCTGTGTGCATGTGAGTGTAAGTACCACAGCATGTTGGAAGGTGCCAGATACCCTGAAGATACAGGTAGGTGTGAGCTGCCTGACCTTGGTGCTAGGAACAGAATTTAGATCTTTTGCAAGAGCAGTAAACACTCTTCACTGTAGAGCCATTTTTCCAGCCCTATCTATAAAATGTTCATCATCAAAATAAAGTTTTAGAATATTTCCAGTTACCCTCAATTTCTTTCAAATGTGTTTGGAATTAATCTTTGCTCCCATCTCCAGCTCAAGTAATCACTATTCAACACTATTCAATACAAGTCTGCCTTTTGGAATATTTCCTAAAACTGGAATCATACAATATTTGGTCTTCTTTTGCTGGGCATATTTTGAGACTCAAATACCCTAAAGCATGTATCATTAGTTCATGTTTACTGAGTATTCCATTGTATAGATATGTGTCATGGTTATCTATTTACTTCTCAAAAGACATTAGGCAATTACAAATAAAGCTGCTGTGAATACTTGCATACAACAGTATCAAACACTGTCCCTAGGAACCAAGCAATCATTCAAACCAAAAACTGGGTGTGCAGCATTTGCTTGGTATCCATAAGACACTGTAAATTTCTAATTTACATTATCGATTCTGTCATCTTCAATGATAAATATAGATCATTCCTATTAATTGTCAGGTAAGCTGCGTCTTCAGAGATCTGATGTTGCAAATGACCAGAAAACCAGTGTTTCACCTAGTGCTGATGAAAATTAGCCACAGGTTTGGAAGCTAGAGCCTCATGATGAAGAGTGTGAATGTGATCAATGGCAGGCATGTTTCATTTTTATAAATCTATCAAAATTAGTCTGGGTACAAACTGTCCTAATTAATAATAACTCCAAATCAAGAGTCCTCTAATTGTTAGTGGACTGAAGGCTTAATGATATGAGATTAAAGTGTGAAAAAACTTGCATACAGGTTTTTTATGGGTAAGACTTCTGGTCTGTTGGCTAGACAGATACCTAGGAGGGAATGTTGCCTGGGTCATATGATTAGGTATTCTCTAACTTTTTAAGAAAGACCCATACTGATTTAATAAGTGACATATTCTGAACTGTTATGAACAAAGATAAGCAGAAGATAATGGAGAAGTCAGTTGTATCAGAGAACATGTAAGTACAAAGGCAGGAGGAAAAGAAGAGAAAGTAGTGGAAGAAAGTAATCACAACGCATGAGAAAGAATTCTTCCAGTAAGAAGGACACCAACCTGTGTGTAGTGGACAGTGAAGATGGCATGGGATCTGCTGCTGGCCTCGTGAACATGGGTGGCTGCTGTGATCCTGTGCAGACAAGACAAAGCTGTTAGGACTATTTAAGCATGGTGGAACCTAAGAGACCTTTCTGAACATAAGAAGTGTTAGGACTGAGGTTAAGGAGCTGCTTTAGTGAGTGAAGGCACCTGCTGCCAAGTCTGACAACCTGACTTCAAACCCTAGGACCCACATGGCAGCTCACAACCATCTGTAACTCCAGCTGCTCTGTGGGCACAGCACACATGTAGTGCACATACATTCCAGCAAGACAATCATTCATATAAAAGTAATAAATATTAAAAAGAAATACGAATAGTCCAAAGAAGGCAGAGCAGCACTCTAGGTACTATTATCTGACAATAAAAAAAGAGAGTTATTTCACACTAACATTAAAACAGTTTTGAAATTTTAAAAGCAAAATTCCAGAGTGTGGTGGTTTGAAAGAAAACGGCCCCCAAAGGGAGTGGCACTGTTAGAAGGTGTGGCCTTGTTGGAAGAAGTGTGTCACTGTGGAGGTGGGCTTTGAGGTCTCTGGCTCAAGCTTCCCTCAGTGTGATTTTAAGTCAACTTCCTCTTGTCTGTAAGATGTAGGACTCTTACCTACTCCAGCACCATGTCTACCTGCACACCACCATGCTCCCCATCATGATAATGGACTGAACCTCTAAAACTATAAACCTGTCCCAATTAAATGTCTTCTTTATAAGAGTTGCCATGGTCATTGTGTCTCTTCATAGCAACAGAAACTCTAAGACAAAGAGTAAAAATGAGAATATTTAGGTGCTATTAACCTGAAACAATATCCCAAAGATAGACCTATTTTAAATATGACAAGTAACTTGTATTGAAAATGGTGATTTACACCTGAAATCCCAGCACTTGAGAGATAAAAGTAGCAGGATTGTTAAACTTGACACCAGACTGGACAAACCTTATATCATTCAGAAACAAGGCTAGGCAGATGGCTCACTGATTAAAAAGCCAGGCACTGTGGCACATATCTGTAACCTAATGCTGGGAGGTAGAGATAGGAAGATCTCAGAGTGCTTTCTAGGCAACAGGTCTAGCCAATCAGTGAGCTCCAGATTTGGTGAGAGGCCCTGCCTTAAAACAAAGGTGGAAGGTAGTAGAGAAAGACACCTGACATTTACTTCTCTATATACACATACACAAATACATAGATAAGTAAATAATTTTAAAAACCAACAACCACACACAGAAAAAAGGCAAGTGTGGTGTACATGAGCTGCAGAAGCTTCACAGAGAGCCTAGTTATAAAGCAGGATATTCACCCATCAGTGTCAAGGAGCCTTGGAGCTAAGGTCTTGAACTGCCATGTTTAAATGAGGAGCTCACAGCCACTCTTAGAAATCCATCCCAATGTTAATCCCTAAATTGAATCTCCTCTTTATATAAATCTAGGTCAATGACCTTCTGTCTAAAACCATCTCTGACTATTTCACTGTCTTCTCTAGGGAGCTGGAGGATAAAAAAGACTAAAAAATCTAAGAGGTGTTCCCATAACTCAAGAATGTGGAGAGTTAGTTAAAACTAACTCACGTTTGTTGGCACTGGGAATTAAACCTAGGGCTCATGCTAGGCAACCATTCTACCACTACGCTACATTTCAGCTCATTCCCTCATACAGCCCAGGTTGGCTTCAAAGTGTGAGCTGAGAATGGCTTTGAACTTCTGGTCTTCCTACTTCTGCTGGGATTACAGCTGTGTATTATCACACCTGGCTTATTTGGTGATAGAGATTATACACAAGGCAAATGCCATGCCAACAGAACTACATTCCCAGCTCCTTGAACTCCTTTTTATTTTTTTCCAAAAAGAAAAAAGAAAAAAATTAGATTTAATTATTGTATGTGTATGAGTGTTTTGCCAGTATGTATGTATTTATTGTACTACATATATACCTGGTGCCTGAAAATTTCAGAAAAGACTTCAGATGCCCTGAAAATGGAGGCACAGACTGCTGTGAGTCTTCATGTGGGTGCTGGGAATTGAACCTGGGTCCTCAAACTCATTACATAGGCTAGGCAGATCTCAAACTTATAATCCTGCCTCAATCAAATTTACTCATCATGCTTTACCCTCTCCAACTGCTGGGATTACTTTTTTGTTTTTTGAGTCTCTCCCCCTCCTCCACACTGAACTAATCCCCAACCCCAAGGTCTGTCTATATAGCCCTGGAATTTGCTGTGTAGACCAGGCTGTTCTTGAACTCACAGAGGTCTGCCTGGTGTGTACCACTGCACCCAGCTTGAATCCTAACTCTTAATGCTTCAGGAGCTCAGCTTATTCTGAAAACCAGGCAGAAGTCTTTCTGAGAGAATTCCATGAAATTCTGAGACTAAAATGTTAAATTTAAATGTTTTCCTTTGTTTTTTAGTTAAACAAGATAAATACAAGACTCTCTCTCTCTCTCTATATATATATATATATGTATATATATACACACACACATATATATATACATACATACATATACATATATATACATACATATATATATATATATATTTTTTTTTTTTTTCCTTCTCCCAGGGAAAAAAGCTTCCCCCTAGACGTTTGTTAGAAGTCAGGGTAAATGAAAAACATGAAATGTTATCACAATGCACAGTAGCTTCTGGGACACTTAAGTCACTCTTCCTAGTTCCATATGCCTATAATGTGTAAAACTAGAAGAAAAATAGTTTTATTAATCATTTTATGCTATATTCATCTTTGCCAAGCTTTAAAAATGGTACTGCCCAATATTATTATGTCCAGAATAAACTCCTTTGTAGTGAGAAGAGCAGTAATTCTTAGTCATGTTCTGTTCCAAGGCCTTCTGGATGGGCACTGCAAGGGAGTGTGGAGAGACCACTACAAAGCTGGCCATACTCTCCCAAGGACAGGGGAACACAGGCTGGCAACAGGAGGCTGCACCCCCACTCCCCCAACAAACCTGTTTTACCTGTTTGCTATCCCCTCCTCCAGGAGCTGGATAACTTCTTGATAGTTGGTAACTACATGCTGAGATAGACCTGTCAAATTTGTGAAAGGAGAAAAGAAATCAAATGAACTTTTCTGGTAAACTTAACCTTTTCTTGTACGTTTATCTTTTTTCCCCTATGAGTTTGAAGCAGGCCCACCATAGTGCACATATGGAGTGAAAGGACAATTTACAGGAGTCACTTCTCTGTCTACCATACAGGACCCAAGAATTGAACTCAGGTCATCAGACTTGATGGCAAGAACCTCTAGGCCCAATGAGCCATCTTACCAGCTCCAATTTTTTATTATGTTTATTAATTTGTATATTTAGCAATTCTCTGTCTCTGTCTCTCTCTCTGTGTTTGTTTGTTTTTGAGATAAGGTTTCAAAAAAAACAGCCTTAGCGGTATAATAGCCCTAGCTATCTTGTAATTTGCTTTATAGATCCATTTGCCTCTGCCTCCTAAGTCCACCACTAGGCTTTTATTTACCATTCTTCATAAGCTAGAATGAGGAAACCTGACTAGTAAGATCACTCAGATAACAAATTAATAAATATGTATCGAAACCTCTCATCAGGTGGTGTGATGGATTCTAGAAATGCCAGCATATTTCCACATAGATTACAGCTTAGAATTCATGTAATGGCCCCGCTAACCACAAAAAAAAAAAAAAAATTCCTCACAGCTTTACTATGGAAGTTGTAAGAAATCTCCTCCCATTCATTGGTCCTCTCAAAATCCCTAACAGGAAGGTGATGTTTTACCCACAAGGTGGCAGACTCAGCTTGGTATACAAAATATGTCTCTCTCCTTTTACAGTTTATAACATGAACTTACACTATACAACACATTACAGGCAAATGCCATAGAAGTAGGGGACAAACAAAAATGCTGAGCAAATTAGAGCAGGGTGGGCTCTGTGGATAAAGCAAGGCTAGAACAAGCCATTTCAGAATGGAAAGGTTTGAGACAGCTGGAAAGGGAACCTGTGCTAGAGAGCATCTGTAGAGTATCAGAGGCTCAGGAACAAGACAATGCCACAGGTCTATTGCTAAATAAATGTATATAAAAACTGACAAAGTAATCTGAATAGTGACTGGGTTGCAGTAGGGTGGCTTCAAGTAATTTTCTTAGCAACTTTCAAGGAATGAAGAGACAAGGTTGTAGCTTACAACACACCCAAATTACACCCCTATTCAATTTTTGTTTGTTTTATTTTTTGAAACAGAGTCTCTAGCCCAGGCTGCTCTTGCACTCAAGACAATTGTCTTGCCTCAGTCTCCTGAGTGCAGAGATTATAGACATAATGTCTGCTTAGACATTCACTTCTTATAGAAAGAAACCTAAATGACTATAAGCTAGGAACAAGTTGAGTTAGAAATAAATAAGATTTTGCAAAGACTGCAGCTAAGCTTCAAAAAGTCTTACTCCTTAAACTCAGCTTACTTCTAAATTGCTCGTGTTCATAGAAACTTAGTATAAAAAAAAGAGATACCAGTTCCTAAGGACAGGTTTACAAATACTGTCTGGCATAAGACTTATAAGCAAACCAAGCAGACATGTAGACCTGGGAATATAAATGAAGATAGACAGATAGAAAGAAGAAAAGGAAGGAAGGAAGGAAAATAGATAGATAGATAAATAGATATATATAGATACAGATTTAGATTTGCTTTTTCAAGATCGAGTTTCTCTGTGAAACAGTCCTGGCTGTCCTGGAACTCACTCTGTAGACCAGAACGTACCAGGAAGACTTTAATGCAACTCTGCCTGGTATGTTCAAGGACTTAACAGACAAGATAGCAAAATTCCAGAGGAATTTGGAGATGTGCTGAGGTCTCCTTGCTATTTCTGAAGAGGGGGTAAGGAGGGAGGGTAGAAAGAAAAACAGAAGGAAAAGGAGAGAAAGGGACAGGGAACAATTTGAAATGTGGAGTATGTAGCACTGATGTACCATTTGACAATATTGCTTTACATGGAAAAAGAAATCAAAAGGGGCAGTTTTATTACTATTCCCAAGCTGGGGGGGGGGCAGGGGGAGAAACACTTGGTAGCAGCATCAGTGAATGCCACTGGCCATCTATTAGTCATGCTTGTTCAGAAGATTTCTCACATCTCCCTCTTTATCAGGATTTAAGTTAACTGCACTTGGGCCCTGAACTTCTTTTGGCTAATAAAGACTTTCTATTGTGTCCAAGTGGTCTTCTCTGGTGGCTACCTTATAACAATCTTCCTCCTTAAAAGAGCACAACTGTCTGGGGGTAGGTGTGGGGGGAATGGTGGTGCACATCTGTAATCGCAGCACTTGGGGAGGTAGAGGCAGGTAGGTGGATCTCTGAGTTCAAGGCCAGACAGAGAAACCCTGTCTCCAAAAAAACAAAACAAAACAAACAAACAAAAACAAACAAAAACAAAAACAAAAGCAAAACTGTTTGCCCCCTAAACAGCTAGCTAATGATGTAAAAGAGATGATACCTAGCTCCAAATGTCAGTGTTTGATGGGGAAGCACATGAGGTGCATCAGGTCCAGCATCTCCCTAGATGCCCTTCATTCTCACTACTGATTAAAGACAGTGTCAGGAAGACCAGCTGACCTGGGAACCAGACACTGTCCTGTTTGGCTGCTGCCTGCAGACCCAACCTATTCTCCGCCTCTTTGCCCTCATTCATCACGATTAGTCGCACAGGCCTCTTTGGAAACACCAAGGGCTTTTTGGAGCTCAAGTCTGCTGTTCTCCCATTTTCCCAGGACTGCATCCTATGAGCTCTTCAGGATTAGTATCAACTGTTACCTGTCAGAAAAGCTTCTCTTGACCACACACAAAGGTTCGGTTGTCTACATCGTCCATCTTCTAAGGGTTTTTTTTTCTTTTCTTTTTCCCTGGCTGTTGGTTGTCCTGTAACTCACTGTGTAGATCAGGCTGGCCTCAAACTCACAGAAATCACCCTGCTTTTGCCTCCTGAGTGCTGGGATTGAAGGTGTGCACAACAGGGGTCTTTTCAGTCACTGTACCTAGCCACTTCTTTATAATCCTTTATCACAACATTGTTTGTCTTATGACACTTCCACCAGATTTTAAGCTTGCCTGTGAAGGCCGGGCCATGTCATGTCAACTTATCAGCATACATCCAATGTCCAGCACAGTAGCCAGCACATAGAAAACAATTGTTACACAGGCTGAGTGAGTTATCAAACATTAGGGGAACTTCCCACACCTCAGTTGGCCTCCAATTCCCAGAATCACAGAAGCTCACCTTGGACGTAGGGCCCCATCTCTGGATGCTCCCTGACCCTCAAGCTATAGGACTTATTTTGACTGGATCGATTCAAAAGATCTCTCACCCGTTCATTATAGATTTCCAGGAAGCTAGAGACAGGGAGAAAAGGCAAGACCGTTAAGACTGTGAAGAAAGAAGGGAAAACACTTAAGTTGAGAACCAAAAGGTCCTGGATTCCTGTTCTGGTGCTGGTGCCCTCAGAGGCTAGAATGAGTCCGATCCCCTGGACTAGATTTACAGGTCTATATTTATAGACATAAATGCTGGAAATCAAACTTGGGTCCTCTGCAAAAGTAGTATGCACTCATGATGATCTGAATGAGCGATGCCCCCCATAGTCTTAGGTATTTAAATACTTGGTCCTTGATGGCACTATCTGGGGGAGCTAAAGGTGGTTGTGGTAGTTTGGATGAGAATGGCCCCCATATACAATGGGCTCATATACTTGAATGCTTTGTCCTTAGTTGGCGGAATTGTTTTTGAAGGATTATGAGGTGGCACCTTGTTGGAGGAAAAGTGTTAGTGGGGGGAGACAGTGATGTTTCAAAAGCCCACACTACCCATCCCCAGCTAGCTCTCTATCTCTGCCTAATGCTTGTAGATCAAGAGCTTGTAAGCTCTCAGGGTATTGCTCCTACCATGTTTCCTGACATGGTGGCCATGCATGGCCTCTAACTCTCTGGAACCATGAATGCCACGTTAAATGCTTCCTTTTATAAGTTACTTTAGTTATGGTGTGTTATCAGAGCAATTAAAAACTAAGAGTGGTGGTATAACGTTGCTGCAAGAAGTATGTCACTGGGCAGGCTTTGAGACTAAAATCCTCCTGACATTTCCCATTGGTTCTCTTTGCTTCATGCTTATGGTTCAAGATATGAGCTCTCAGCTTCCTGGTCCTGCTTTTCACTGTCTTACAGTAACTACCACTATGGATTCTAACCCTGTGGAACCATAAGTCCAAAAAATCTCTTTCTTACATAAGTTGCCTTGGTCTTGGTGCTTAATCACAACAGAAAACTAAGACAGCCACTTTTTTTTTTAACTTAACATTTTTTTAAAAAAGATTTATTTATTACGTATACAGTATTTTGCCTGCATGTCTATCTGCACATCAGAAGAGGGCACCAGATCTCATTATAGATGGTTGTGAGCCACCATGTGGTTGCTGGGAATTGAACTCAGGACCCCTGGAAGAGCAGCCAATACTCTTAACCTCTGAGTCATCTCTCCAGCCCCTACTTAACATTATTTTAATTTTATATACCAACTACAATTTCTCCTGTTCCCTTCTCCCTACCTCCCATCTACCCACTTCCCCATCCACTCCTCCTTCCTCTCCATTCAGAAAGGGGCAGGCCTCCCATGAGCTTGAACAAAGCATAACACATCAAGCTGAGGTAGGAGGGACCTCCTCCCCTTGTGTCAAGGCTACACAAGGTAATCCAGCATGGGGAACAGATTCCCAAGAGCCAGCTAAGCATCAGGGATAGGTCTTGATCTCACTGTTAGGAGCCTTATAAGCAGACCATGCTACACAATTGTCACACGCATGCAGATGGCCTAGGTCAGTCCCATGCAGGCTCCCTAATGTTGGTCCAGAGTCCATGAGTTCCCAGGAGCTTGGGTAAGCTGTAAGTACAGTGAGCTATTTTTCCATTCCTTGTTCATTTTCTTAAGATGGGGTCTCATGGAGCCTAGGCTTGCCTCAAACTCACTAGGTAGCCAAGGCCTTGAACTCCTGATGCTCCCACCTTCATCTTCATTATCCTACTAGGATTTTTTTCTACTGTCCTGAGCAACAAGGAAAATTGTTGTGAAAGTTCTGCCCCTGCTGTAAGCTGGACAACTCTAACCTGTTTTACTCACTCAGACTGTGTGCAAGATGTTATTCTTCTTAGATATCTATTTCATTATTTTTTAAATAGTTACAATTCTTAGCTGAAACCAGTAAAGATTATATATAACAGGAAGGGAGGCAGAGAAGGTGAGAAAGGAAGGAGAATACAAGGCTTAAAGAGAAACTAGTAAAGCTGGGCTTTCATCCCAGCACTCTGGAGACAGAAGCAGGCTGATTTCTGTGAGTTCGAAGCTACCCTGATCTACAAAGTAAGTTCCAGAGCAGCCAAGGCTACATATAAAGATCATATCTTGAAAAAGAAAAAACGAGTAATCATATATTAATGTTTTTCACTGAAGCTTGGTTAATTAAAACTTATTTTGTTAGGCCATGGGGGGGGATCATGCCTACAACCATAACACTTGGGAAGGTCAAACATCAGGATTAAGAGTCTGAAGATAGCCTGGGTTACAAAGCACGATGCTGTCCAACAAAACAAAACCTGGAGCTAGCCCTAGGCTGGGAAGTAGGTTCGAAATCTACAGTCCTACAGAACAAGCCAATGGGGATTAGGAGGGGAAATCCCAAAAGAAACTAAAGGCAATAAAGGAGAGGAAACCATGGATCTGGAGAAGAACCTCCTGGACTAGTCTAAGGAAAGTGAATTAAGGTTTCCACAAACTATGTTTCCTATTTCCCTGTACTGTATGATGTATCCTCTATGGATTTTCTCCATCCCTCTGATGACTCTAGAAGTAAAACAAAAAAGCTGAAAAATATGAAATCTGGAATGGAAATAGGACATTAGGGATCTAGAGCTTGAGTTCTTACCTTACTTTTATGCTAGGGGAAGAAGGCAGTGAGGCACAGGCATCCTCCCTGATGAAGAGATCCTGCACAAAATCAGAGGGTCAGATTTCACTGAAGGGAGCTGACATTGGAAACTTACTTTAGGAGTACATGATCAAAAGAGAGTCTGTACCTCACATATCCGTGGGGTCAGCCCAACAGAGGCCTGGATGACAGAAAAAGGAAAACATTACTGTTTACTCTGGGAAATGCCCACCATCCCTCTTCTTACCCACAAACACCTGGAATCCTGGAACTCCCCTAAGAACAGAGTATGGTTGTATGGGCTCTTTGTGCTAGCTAGCCTCTATAGAAGGATGTAGAAGACTACAGGCTGGCACTATCAAGAGACACTGACAAAAAGAATGTACAGATGAGAGGCAGATTGTCACCATTAGACAGATAAGAGAAGCTGGCAAACCTAGACATGTGCTTTCCTGCAGTGACCTTTATCATTCTTGGATGAAGTCACACTACTAATGTGGTCCTTTCTAGATCCCTAGGCACAGGAAGACACCCTCGGCAAAACTGCAAAAATCCAAAGGAGCGATGCTTCTCTAGCTCATATTCAGAGGTTTAAGGTTTTATTCCCCCTTTGCTTAATGGGCAAGTTCTTTTTTTAATTTCAAATATCTGAAACCACTCTAACCACAGACAAAGGAAACAATGAGCTGTACCCAGAGAAGTGGGCTATCCTTTTAGATTGTTCCTATACAATGTTACTTGTCAACCACTAGCATACTAAATCTAAAAGAAAGGGTATTCTTTTTTTCCCTTTTAAATGTTTATTTATTATGTATACAGTGTTCTGCCTGCAGGTAAACTTGCACAACAGAAGAGGACACAATATCTCATTACAGATGGCTATGAGTCACCATGTGGTTGTTGGGAATTGAACTGAGGCCCTCTGGAAGGGCAGCCAGTGTGCTTAACCACTGGGCCATCTCTCCAGCCCCAAGAAAGGGTATCCTTAAAGAATGCTATCCCTTTAACTTTGTTTTTTTATTGCCGTTGTTTCTTTTGAGACAGAGTCTCAGTGTGTATCCCTGGCTGGCTAGAACTCATAAAGCACTGCCTGCCTCTACCTCTCAAGGCCTGGGTTAAAAGGGCATTTCCCTCAATTTTCTGTGACTAAAAACAACTTGCATTACACTCTACACATTTTTAAAAGCCCCCAGCCCAGCTACGTCTCTTGCTTTCTTCTAACACACATAGCTTTTGAAGCTGAACACAGCATTCTTATCTCTGTATAGCACTAAGATTCAGTCCAGGTTTATCCCCAATAAAAGTGTGAAGCTTTAGGTGATGAACCTGAAAATAATATGCATATCTAATAGGACCAACAAGAACTCTTGGACAAAGGGAATCATGAAATTCTAGTTTTTCAAAGTTTCACAGAGACTAATTATACAAATTTTACCATTCAGTTAGAGTAGTGAAATGCCACTGTTAGGTACAGAAGAGGGTCATTAATGTTGATTATGGGGTCATGTTCCATATCACAGTGGTAAGGATAACATAAGATTCAGGTCTGCTGTAGCATTAGGAAGACAGTTCACTTCAGTGCTAATACTCACTGGAGTCCCCAGCATGGTGTATGTCTTCCCAGAGCCAGTCTGCCCATAGGCAAAGAGGCAAATATTGTAGCCTTTGGCAGCTCCAGACAGTACTTCAGTCCCCAAGCCCTGGAACACCTGTAATAACAAAAGTAGAAAGCTTGTCATTGGTCCAACTTCCCATAGCACATTTAAAATATTTTAAATCTAAAAAAAAAACCCACAAAATAAAAACAAACAAACAAAAACCTATTGGAGCTAGAGTGATGGCTCAGCCGTTAAGAGCACTGGCTAATCTTCCAGAGGTCCTGGCACCCACAAGGCAGCTCACACCTGATTTAATCATTCACAAGAATCGGTTCAGCTTTAGAAAATAAGATTTTAAGGGAAAATTAAGTAAGTCAATTGCTCAAACATTTTTAGGTACCTACTGTATCCTAGCCTAGATTTTTTTTAAAAGTACATTTCCTAGTCCTTTAAAAAAAAGAATTTATTTTTCATTATCTGTGTGTTTGTACATGTAATCTGTGGAGTATAAATACATACATGTGAGTGCCTGGTGATGCCAGTAGAGGGCCCCATGGAACATAAGCTACAGGCAGTTGTGAGCTACTTGGAGTGGGTTCTAGGAACCAAACTCAGGTCATCTGAAAGAACACAAGTACTCTTCAATGGCTGAGCAGTATCTCAGGCCCCGTGTTCTGTAGTCTACACAGAAGATTCTAAAGCAGGACATATATAAGGCAAAATCTTCCTCAAACACAGAGAAGTGCTTGCTATGGCTAACAGGGTGGTTATAGTGAAACACTCACTGCTCAAGAAGATAAATTCAAGGTCTGAAGACCACACAGGACCAGTTTAGCTCAGAAGTAAGAAAAATTTGTCCCTGATGGTTCCCTGATTGCCCCTGATAGATGGCAGGTTCTGCTGGACAATCACTTCACTTTTGGTCAGGTTTTGTGACTAATTTAGAAACCACCGTAATCCTGATGTGGAAACTGGACTTTAAATTTCTAGATTTCCTGAAATTTCAACTGAACTCTTCTAGGCAGCCATATGAACACTTTGGACCACTGATGTTGGTGGGGGGCAGAACCCAGTCCTCTACCTCAAAATCCTCTTCACTAGCTAGTATCTGGAACAATGATACATCAAAGGAGACTGTCAGCCAGGTAGACAATCCCATCTGACTTTCCAAAGAAAGATGCAAAAGCAGAACAGCAGATGACAAATTCTCCAACAGTAGCAAAACACAGTGACAGAAATGTCAACTATGGTGCTCATGCCAGCCTATTCTGTGTGGCACCACCTGTGATTCCTGCTGCCTAGCAGGTCCTGATCATTTTTTTCAACTTCCCTTTCAAGTACGTGAATCATCTGGTAGAGTTCCAAATTGTAGTGTATGTCTTGTCTTGTACTTCAAAGTTGGGTGAACCTAGGCAATCTGGTTTCTCTAGCTGTAAGATGGACATCACGCAGACTGCTTAGAGACCAATGTCACACATGAAACCAGGTAAAGACAGGATCTAAGTCAAGACTATATTGTTCTGTATTCTAGAAGCTGCACTTCTGCTTCTTGGCAGTGTACTGTTTGTTTGCTTTTTAATACTTCCGTCATCTAGGCAAAAGGCCAAAAGAACCCAGGGTGTTTTGAAAGACTTGAGCTCTGCTCAAGCGAAAACCTTCCCATGACCTCTTATAGCTCTGTATAGTCACACTAACTCCATGTTGACAAAGTTAAAATTTGGGTGAGATCTTGTTTGCCTCCTAAAGGCTGACCAGGTGAAAGACCTTCAGTCTGAAGAAGCAGTATATTTTACTGCATTAGACTAGATGAGTTGACTAACATCTATCCATTCACTATTTGAGAAATCCTCCACAGAACTCCAACTTCCCGGGGCAGGAGATGGGAACACAGGTGGAGACAGCAAAGAGCCACATCTAAATCTAAATTGTATCTCTGCCCTGTTGCAGGATAATCATTCATACTACCACTCCACTGTGGTCAGAGAACAGTGCTAACTACTAGCTGACCAAAATTAGCCATACAGGTTTTGGAGGACTGAGGACATAGAGAGACATGGGAAACAGTAGGGAGGAACTTAGAAGATGCATGCTTTTTGGATCGAGGAAGGAGGCACAGAGATCACTGGTTGCTTTTCTGCTGCTGGTCTGATCAATCAGGTTTTAACCCCATATCTGACTCCTGAGTTTTTATTAATATTAGAATAATTTAGATAATCATTATATTGCTTACATTTTATGATCAGCTGAGCAAAGACAGAAAAGAATGTTACTTTGTCCATGCCCTTTTTATACAGATTTTTTAATTTAATTTTTGCATTCCAAATCCAGTTTCCCCTACCTTCTTTCCTTCCCCTCCCCCACCCCTTCCCTCACCTTCTATTTGCTCCTCAGAGAGGGTAAGGCCTCCCCTAGGAAGTCTACTAAGTCTATCTCATCATATCATTGAGGCAGTACCAATGCACTCCCCTACATCCCTGTGTCTAGGCTGAGTAAGGTATTTCTCCATATAGAATGGGCTATACTAAGTCAGTTTATACTTTAGAGTTACATCTTGGACTCGCTGCCAGTGGCCTTATATACTGGCCTAGCCACACCATTGTCACCTATATTAAGGGAGTCTATTTTGATCTTATGCAGGTTACCCATTTGTCAGACATGAGTCAGAGATCTCTCACTAGCTCAGGGCAGCTGATTCTGTAGGTTTCCCTTGACTTCTTTGTTCACATTATCACTCCTCCCTCACTTGATTGTACTCCATGAGCTCAACCCAATGGTTAGCTATGGATTTCTGTATCTGTTTCCATCTGTTTCTGGAAGAGGGTTCTAACTTCTCTGGGGTTATGGATTGTAGGTTTGGTATCTTTTGCTTTATGTCTGGTATCCACTTATGTGTGAGTACATACTACATTTGTCTTTTGGGTCTGGGCTACTTCACTCAGAATGTTTTTTCCTAGTTCTGTCCATTTGCCTGCAAATTTTAGGATAGCATTGTTTCTTACTGCTAAGTAGTACTCTATTGTGCAAATGTACCACATTTTCTTATCTGTTCTTCAGTGGAGGGACATCTAGGTTGTTTCCAAGTTCTGGCTATTACAAATAATGTTGCTATGAACATATTTGAGCAAATGTCCTTGTGGTGACTCCTTTGGGTATATATGCCCAAAAGTGGCATTGCAGGGTCTTGAGGTAGGTTGATTCCTAATTTTCTGAGCATACTTATTTCCACAGCAGCTGTAAAAGTTTGCACTCTCACCAGCAATGGAGGAGTGTTCCCCTTATTCCACATCCTTGCTAGCATAAGCTGCCATCAGTGTTTTTCATCTTAGCCATTCTGATGATATCTCAGTGTTGTTTTGATTTGCAATTCCCTGATGACTAAGGATGTTAAATACTTCCATCATTTGAGATTGTTCTGTTGAGAATCCTCTGTTTAGATCTGTACCCCATTTTTTAATTGGATTGTTTGGTAGTTTGATATCTAGTTTCTTGAGTACTTTGCTATTGGAGATCAGCCCTTTATCAGATGTGGGTTGGTGAAGATCTTTTCCCATTCTGTAGGGAGCCATTTGATCCCATTGAACAAGTTCTTTGCTTTACAAAAGCTTCTCAGTTTCAGGAGGTCCCATTTATTAATTGTTGCTCTTAGTGTCTATGCTACTGGTGTTCTGTTTAGGAAGTGGTCTCCTATGCCTATGTGTTCAAGGGTATTTCCCACTTTCCCTTCTATGAGGTTCAGTGTGAATGGATTTATATTGATGTCTTTGATTCATTTGGACTTGAGTTTTGTGCATGGCAATAGATATGATCTATTTGCATTCTCTACATGTTAACAGCCAGTTATACATGCACCATCTGTTGAATATGTTTTCTTTTTTCCATTTTATATTTTTAGGTATGTGGGTTGATATTAGAATCTTTAATTCCATTGGTCCACCTGTCTGTTTTTATGCCAATACCAAGCTCTTTTCATTACTATAGCTCTATAATAGAGCTTGGAGTCAGGGATGGTGATGAATCCCAGATGATCCTTTATTGTACTGGCTATCCTAGGTTTTTTGTTTTTCCATATGAGTTCCATATTGTTCTTCCAGGTCTGTGAAGAATTGTGCTGGGATTTTGATGGGGATTGCATTGATCAAAAGTAGATTACTTTTGATAGGATTTCAATTTTTACTATGTTGATCCTACCTATCCAAGAGCATGGGAGATCTTTCCATTTTCTGGTATCTTCTTTAATTTCTTTCTTTAAAGACTTAAAGTTCTTGCTTGGTTAGAATTGCCCCAAGGTATTTTATGTTATTCGTGGCCATTGTAAAGGGTGATGTTTCTCTGATTTCTTTTTCAGCCTGTTTATCATCTGTATATAGGAAGACTACTGATTTTATTTTAAAATTATTCTTGTATCCTGCTACGTTATGGAAGGTGTTTATCATTTGTAGGAGCTTTCTAGGAGAATTTTTGGGGTCACTTATGTAAACTATCATATCATCAGCAAATAACAAGAGTTTGACTTCTTTTCCAATCTGTAATACTCTGATCTCCTTTTGTTGTCTTATTGCTCTAGCTAGAACTTCAAGAACTATATTGAATAGCCTTGTCTTGTTCCTGATTTCAGTGGGATTACTTTGAGTTTCTCTCCATTTAGTTTGATGTTGGCAATTGGCTTGGTGTATATTGCTTCATCATGTTTAGGTATGTTCCTTGTATCCCTATTCTCTCCAAGACCTTTATCATGAAGGGGTGTTGAATTTGATAGAAGGCTTTTTCAGCAACTAATGAGATGATCATGTGTTCTTTTTTTCTTTCAGTTTTATATGGTGGATTTCATTGACTGATTTTCATATATTGAACCATCCCTGCATCTCTGAGATGAAGCCTACTTGGTCATGGTGGATGATTTTTCTAATGTGTTCTTGGGTTCGGTTTGCTAGTATTTTATTGAGTATCTTTGCATTTATGTTCATGAGAAAAATTGGTATGTAATTCTTCTTAGTTTTGTCTTTGTGTGGTTTGAGTATCAGGGTAACTGTATAACCTCATAAAAAGAGCTTGTCAATGCTATTCTCTTTCTATTGTGTGGAATAACTTGGGGAATATTGGTGTTAGTTCTT